TTTTCAAAATGTGAATTTTTTCAATCATCGGTTAATTGGCTAGGAGGTATTTTGCCATAATTTGTCGTCAGAAGGTATTTTACCAAAAATCACAAAAACAGAAGCAATGGCAAATCTTCAACCCCCCAAGTCGTTGAAACAACTTAGATCCTTCATGGGCAGTAGTAATCATTTATCTAAGTTTATTCCGAACGCGGCTAGCTTAGCAGATAAACTCCGATCTTTGCTGAATGAGGAAAACGAAAAAAGATGATGAAAAATATTCGTCTGCCAGTGAAAAAATTTGAGCGGGATAGCCAACATTCCGTAGTATTTGAAGCGAGTAAAAAGGCAGTAGCAAATATTGGTATGATTAATTATTATAATCCATCTAGAGAAACTCGGGTAAAATTTGACGCAAGCCATAGTGGTCTAGGGGCAATCCTTGAACAACTGACAGAACAAAATGAGTGGGTACCAATAGCATTTGCTTCGCGGTATCTAAATACCCAAGAAAAAAAAACTCTAATGAACTTGAGCTGCTGGCAGTAGTTTGGGCCGTAGATAGATTTAAACATTACCTGTTGGGAAAAGAATTTGTTATAGCAACAGATCATAAAGCATTAACATCCGCGTTGGGGGAACATAGATCGAACAAAACGTACCAATCTCGACTCACTAGGTGGGTGGATCGATTACTGCCTTATCAATTTAAGGTTATTCATATCCCTGGAAAGGATATGGGTATCGTTGATTATCTTTCGAGAGAACCCAATGGGAAACCATGACCCGAATCTGAATTAGATGAAAGATTTGTGGTAGCTTCGATTGAGAACTTTCATAAAGCGCTCGAATGTTTGAACAGTAGGCTTATTGGTTCAGATCCGAAGTTTAATGTAAATATTCTAGAACATTCTGGAATAAGAAACAATATTAGCCACTGTAAAGACAACTCATCACATGGTTGCTATGGCAACCAGTTTGTTCAAAACTGGACAAGGCTCGACTGGAACGAAAACGGTCAAAGCTCACGTTTTCAAAAAGAATTAACGAGCAGAACACACTAAACAAGATTTCTCGTAACAAACAGTCGGTAAAAATTCAGATATTAATAATTGCACTAATTTAACAAGAAAATCGGGGGAAACTGTGAAGATGGAAAAAATCAGTCGGGGTCAGGAAAATCGAAGAAGGTGGTGAAGATTATGAATAGACCAAACAAAGAGAGGGAAGAACTGACAGAGCAGGTGACAGAAACAACATTCTCAAGAACCAGAATGGTAAAGAGAGGAGCGTGCAGTAGACAGGACTCGGACATTTCGGAGTCAGAAGTACCACAGATTGAGTGGCGAGCAGTCGATAGGTAGATTAAACCTAACAGACAATCAGGAACTTCATCTGCCTGCCCAATAGCAGCAAAGTTAGTTTCATTCTGGGACCTCATGGGGGCAGAACGAACGGATAACCCGAGAAGTATGCTCGAGCTAGAAGCGCAAACAGAATTGGAGAACAGAGCTCAACAAGACCGAGAAATTGACATAAATGCTAAAGATTACAAGCCGCCGATAGTAGAAGTGGATCTTACTGCAGAAAGTCCGTCGGACAGTCCGGAAGTTAGTGTGATCGGGAAGAAGAAAACAACTCATAACTCTAGGAAGGACGAGTTTCGCCAAACGGAGTTGCATAAGGGGGAAGTCTGAATAACCTCACCAAGGTGCTCGATAGAAGTCTTCTGGCGGAGTTAATTTCAGAAGATCCCTGGATGGATAAGCTTCGAGTGATAGAAAGAAACGATCCGCATAGCTTTGAACTATTGGGCCATATACAAATCCCCTCTGGCATCAGCTGTCCGTGGTGGATGACTGTATACTAGTAGACAACAGGCTGGCAGTCCCAGGGCAGTTGCGACAAGCAGTCTTGAAGAGAGTTCATCGCGGTCACCCAGGCCAGGAAGCCATGCTAGATGCTTCGAGATACCTGTGGTGGCCGCACATGCATAATGACATCGTCAATATGGCGGAGGAATGTAGAAGATGCACTCGCTACGGTAAGAACGCTAAATACATCATACCAAAAAATGCTAGTAAACCTCTTCAGGAAGTTCAACTGGACTATGCAGGCACTTTAGAAGATCATAAAGGGAAAAAGATATATTTGCTGGTAGCAATAGATAGGTATTCGAAGTTTCCGTCGGTAAAATAACTAAATCACCGGGGGAAAATCGTCAACGAAGTTTCTTCGTTCCTACATTGACACCCACGGAATACCCGAATCAATCAGAACCGATCAATTATTTGGATTTACGGGTAAAACAATGAGAAAATATGGTTCTGAAAACAACATAGAGCAAAAATTCTGTCCCGTTGGGGATCATCGCGTGTGCGGATTCGTTGAACGTACGATTCAAACCGTCAAAAGAAGATTGGGGGTAATGTTACTGGATGAAAATGTGATATCGATAAAACTCTGTCTTAGCACTATCACTCGAGATCTTCGATGGAGTAAGCAAAAAACAACTCAACGTTCGCCGTTCGAAGCTCATTTTGGTCGACTACCAAAAACTGAATTTAAAATTTTGCGTGATAAGTTCTTATAAAATTCTGATCGTTTAGATAAGGAACATCTGGAACGATCGGCTCTTACTGCTTCGCAACTCAAAAGGCGAATCGATCAGTCAAGAGACGGGCTGAAAATTGTCCGTAAAGGCCAAAATAGTAGTGATGTAAGTCCTCTCTTCAAACAACAAGCGGACTCACCAACGGATCGAGCTACAGCACGGGCACTGAAAGAACTACTAGAGGCGAATGCCAGGTGGAACCAGACCAGACGGGACACATCGGCCATTGATCTTAGGCGCATTGTGGACGAGACAAGCACCATAAATCCTGAATTACGCAAAGAAATGCTATATTCGTGGGAGCGCGGATTCATTGAGGACAAACCAGAAAACAGTGTCAGTCAGGATCAATGGTCCCCCATACTGCTACGAAAGAACGAAGGGAGACGCAGCAGAAAGGCTCTAACAAAGCCTTTAAAGGGGAAAGTTACATCAGAGACTCAGTCTACTGTTGACAGCTGCTGGGGCAATCTATCGTAAAAGCGACATTGCCAAAGCCAGAGTTAATGTTCAGGATCAAAAAGCATATCTTCGGTCCCCGACAGGGGAAGAGCCTAAAAAGAAGCAGAAAAAGAAAGCGCAACGTAAACCCGAAGAACAAGAAGAAGTCGAAGATAGTTGGTCGGAGGAAGAAGTTCTGCCACCGCAGAAAAAATTGGATCCGGAGGAAGCTAAAATTCAATTTCAAGATAGTCCGACAGTGGTCACCTCTAAGGACACAGTGCAGGGTAGTGGTCTGAATCTTGCGGTTGAAAGGGCTAAACCTAACAATGCGGGACCCTTCTCTAAGCCAACTAAGACACAGTGGGGGACATAAATGAAAGAAAAGAAGCAACCAATTCAGAACATCCCTCGAAACAGAAATGCTGATGCAGCAGAAGAAAATCAACTAAATGAACAAGCACCAACGTGCTCGTCAAGTGCAGCGATGGTTCCACCGTCGACTTCCACGCCGCGAAATATTTCAGCCGCAAAATCAAAACAGATCGCACGTCACACATCGCCGGAAACGATCCTGAACACATTCAATAGCAAAGATCTAACCCCAGAGGATTGGAATAGAATGGCTGATCAAGTGTTAGAAAGAGGAGTACAGCGGGCAGCAGAAGACATACTGAAACCAAAAGATGATACGAGAGAAGCTGACGATTCTAATAATCCGCCAGGATTTTCTGACGAGTCGGAAGAGGGCGAAACCTATGTACGTAGGAGTGGGCGATCGAAGAGAGGTTCTAGTAGATATGGCGACACGATCAAGCATTCAGTAAAATTTATCTCTTCACAAAACGATCTGATGGATATATATAAGGCTGCTTTATAGGCATATCGCATTAAATTGGCAACTTTTAAACCCGATATGAAAAACTCGATCGAAACAAAATTTGGCCTCCTGGAGAAGCATCTATTTAGAAGGAAATTTGGCAGTGAGGCGTTGGATAGAAATCGGTCCTGGAACGCAGAGTGGCGGGTTCCACTCCACTTTGATGAGGAACATGAAGAAAAAGAAGGAAAATGAAGAAATTCCTCACTAGAGACATTTGCACACGCAAAAACTTATTAAGCTGAGTATCAAAACTCATATGTATTATTAAAAATTTTATAATGTAGTATAAAATTTATTTGTCGACCGGGGAATGTGGTACAGCAACAGCACCTGCATTTGCAGTAACAGTACTATAGCCTTGGTGTCATGTTCATATTGTTGTCTACAGCTATATATTGTTATTAATTATTTCAAGGTCAACCATGTGTGACCTTTGTTCGATTACGAAGAGATTCAGTTCTCTCAACTGTAGCAACAGCATACAGTTAGCCATTAAATCTCAGGCTACATAAAAGATGGTTTCAATATTAAATTAACCTCTTTGGAAACCAACATCGTTTTCACTATCAAAACCACAGAGGTTCTAGCCGGTATCACAGTCTAATACCAATATTAATCTTACTCTTATATCTCCTAGTCTCAATAGATCTAGTGTACACCGGTTTACGCGAGTTAGTTCCAGAATGAGAACAACTGTATTCTAAGTTTAATTCAAACTGTTCTGAAATAAGTGGGTTGTTAGTTTGATGGAGTATGATTGGTTAGTATTTAATACTTTATAGAGATAAAATATCATAATAATAACCAATGATAAATACTATTTTAGATCTGGTTCCACTCCCGGGTCTCATCTGTTATAAGAGTTTGATGATGATGATGCTCGAATCTGATTGGTTGAAATTATAATCGAACGCAAAAAGTAATTTTATCGTTTTCTTTACAAACAAGCCTAATTAAGAAGTTTGATTATTTGGGCCTTTTAACAGAAAAGACCCTCCCTCACTTATGTACCTAGTAATGAAGATGTTGAGATGAAGTTGATGGCGTGTGGAAGTGGAACCCTTGTTTATTGTTGTTCAGGTTCCAGGAGAAGGCGAGCATAAAATCATGGAGTTCATCAGAGCGCAGAGGTCCAAACCAGACTACGATTCAAACACACGACACTGCATGTATGGCCTGGACGCAGACCTGATCATGCTGGGATTGTGTTCTCACGAACCACACTTTTCATTACTCAGAGAAGAGGTAAGGTTTAAACGTGTCTGGCTGGTCTTAGATATACTTTACAACCCCAGCCTTTCACTGAGTGAGATGGAATTGTACGGAATTCGTCCATCATTATTTACGAAACAGGCAGTGGCGGATCTAGTCAGTCGAAGTAGTTCAAAAGGCACTTCACTTTCTCAAAGTTAGAATTATATTTACCCGGACGAATTCTGCAAAAAAGGAAAAAACGTGATTTTTTGGCCCGGTTGTTTCTTTCTACATGCTTCGTTTTTATGTTTGAAAAACAATTCTCAGCACTTTCGATTTTTGTTATATTGTATAAATGTATATATCAGGGGTGGATTTAGGGGGGGGGGGCGCATTTCTCCATCTCAGGGATTCGATCCCCTGCCGACCCAAAGGGTACCCCTTTGGTACTTTTTAAGAAATCGATTTTTGGCCAACCGACCTTAAAAACTTTCTTAAAGCGCTTTTGGGGCCAATATATACTAATTTTGAGGGGGAGCGCGTGCCAAAAAACGCAATTTTTTGTGAAAATTTTCCAAATAGTGCCCAAAAACTGGTTTTTTGACCTGTTTTTTTTTTAAAAATTTGCATGCGGCGCTGAAAATTTAGCCCAAAATAGGGGAAAAACAGTGCTTTGGGAGAGCTCGAAAAATCAGTTTGGTCGACCTAAAAAAAGGTCAAAATTTTTGAAAAATTTTTGAAAATCCGCCCCCCTTGAGAAAATCCTAGATCCGCCCCTGATTCCTAGCATCTTTTTGGAATCATATCAACTGTCAAAGCTATTTTTTGATCCGAGTTTCCTTTTTGGAAGGAGCTATTTCTAAGACGGATTAAATCTCCGCTTACGCGTTATTAGCGCGAAATATATCGCGCGTTAATTGTCCCAATTTGGCCAAAAGGGTAGTTTTTAAACCCCAACTTTACAAAAAATTATCACAGGTTAAATATCTTTTCAAATATAAGCTCAAAATAAAAATAAATTTTGAATGATATAAAAATATATTCCGTCAAAAATGGCTAGTCAAAAAGTCGAATTTGTCTGAAGGAAAAAAACCCACTCCGAGCACAAATATTCCGTTACTTTTGTTATGAAAGTCGGAAGACAAGAAAAGGCCACCATTGGTATGGAGCAACAATTTTTTTTGAAAATTGTTGAAAACGTTTTTCTTCGTTTCTGTTTTTTTTTATTTCTATCGGTTTTCTGCAAATCTGTCAGCTTAGATGAAAACTAATCTTTTTTATTAATTATATTCGTTAATTTTTGGGGATACAAGCACCTAATTTTTTCTCCGCTGTGAGTCTGAAACTGAAACTTTTAGCAAAGTCAGTTTTTTGCTATATACATAGTTAACACCAGGGGCGGATTTAGGATTTTTTCGAGGGGGGCGGATTTTCAAAAATTTTTCGAAAATTTTGACGACCTTTTTTTATTTTTTACGTCGACCAAAATGATTTTTCGAGCTCTCCCAAAGCACTGTTTCGTCCGTATTTTGGCCAAATTTTGAAAGGCCAAAAAGCGTTTTTAGGCGCTTTTTGGAAAATTTTTAGGGTCCATCACCAAAAATGGATATCTCAAAATAGTACAAAGGGGGACCCTTTGGGTCGGCAGGGTATAGAATCCTTGAGGAGGGGGGGGGGGGGGGAGTTGGGCCTCCGCCCCTCCCCCCTAAATCCGTCCCTGGAAACAGGTATAGTCTGAATGGATCTATTCAGTTAAACAGTAATACGGCAATGATGAAAGTCAAAATTAGATTTGGAAAAATTAGCTCGATATTACAAAGAAATGCTGGTTATCAATATGGTGCAGGCCGAGCGAACCAATTTCATCTACTTTAACCTCAAACAGGTTCTTTTCCCTGTTTGTTTTTGCCGTTTTCTTCATACAAGTTCACAAATATGAGTACAAATGCGTTCTGGAGCACCGTTAGACTCCCATTTTTGCCGCCGTATACCGAGTTTATTGAAGGCTCTCGAGATCTGCCTTGTGTTTGGTAGTAATAACGATCCAATTCAGTAATTCAGTTTTTTTTTCATTTTTATCAGAGTTAAAGCCGAAAAGACCCAATAATCTTTGTGAAATTTGTGGGTCAATTTTAGGTCAGATTCGGCAAGTTTGCGCAGCAGGGAAAGCAGAATTCGCGAGTGAGCAATGCTGACAGAACTACTTTTCACCTACTTCATCTGTCGCTCTTGAGAGAGTACCTGGAAATGGAGTTCAAACCAATCAAAGTTAGTCAAGTCTAAAACTGAACTTCAGGACGATGGGTTTTCTGGCCATGCCTACTTACGATATCAGCAAATCTGATTGGCTGAAATAAATTACTGCGAAATCCATATATTATAACGAGGCCAATCGACTGCAATTATTTTATCAGATAGAGGCTGAGAACCCACAACCATGCAGCAATATGCTCTGAAAAAACTTGTATTTGCCCCAAAAACCATAAGATATAAAAATTGTTGCCAAAATGTTCCTTTTCAGTCTTTCGTTCCGACCTCTTCAAGAATTGAGGAGCTATGGTCAATGGTCATTTTCCACGCGTTTTTAGGTGCCTCGAAGCAAACTCATTATAAAGCACTTCCAGTCGTGATTTGGATTACAAAAATTGCCATAGTTTTTTTCGTACCGAGAAAAAGTAATTCTGAGTTTTTGGACTTCTTTACCGCTGGGGCGATAGACAAAGGATGCTGAAAACTTTCGAATAGTTTTAGGGACTCTTTTCCACTCCCCCACATTTGAATTTCAGTTTTGAAAAACAAATTTATGTTATCATTATGTAATGAAATTTGCATGGTGAACGAACTAATTTTTGTGAACACATTTGTTCTTCATATATTACATTGTAACATCATGCATTCAGCCATGATAACACGTAAGACAACTCAAAAAATATAAACTTGAAATGTGGAGGGAGTGGAAAAGAGCCGCTTTACTGAATCTATACCTAAAAAGTTTCCTTTTATCGTTGCGATTATTACACGAGCGTAGCGTATTGTGATAGCACGACGCAACTTTTTTTCCAAACTAAGTCGCAAATAAAAGTGCTAATTTTGGTGGCACTTTTGAATCGGTAGGCTGCTTTGTGTGAGCGTAGTGTATTAGTATGAACCTACATTTTCCAACCTAATAAAAATGCTTATTTGGTGGCCTTTTTGCTGTAGCCTTGGAAGTTTTATAGCATCTGTTCTCTGCTTCGTTTGTGGATTGTGTTTGGCGATTGTTAAGCATCGGTGGCCGTGTGGGAAGGACCTGAGACTCATAATCTCTAGGTCGCTGGTTCGGATCCGTAGCGTATCAAAATAGGTTTTTTGAAACAAAAGTTAGGCTGATTTCTACCTTTTCAATTTCATTTTTTTTTGTTATTCTCACGCTAGTGTTCGGACTATATCGAAATTTGGCATCAAAATTTTTATTAATTGGAGGCTTATTTCTACTTTTTCATATTTCACTTTATAGCGCTGCTGGTTTGTAGTTTTCTCGCTAGTGTTTGCGAAGCGCAGCTTCCTCTAATATTTGCTTTGGTAATTTATTTGACAAATTAACACAGTTGATGCTTTATGATTCATCAATTGAACCAGAAAAAGCTATTTGCTCCATACAACAATTATAAAAAAAATCGTTATTTCAGAAATTTTCGAACTCGATATATTCAGCGAGGTTTTTGAAATACTAAATTTATACGCAATTTATTGCTTGGAAAGATTGTGTGGTGGCCTTTAAATTGATATAGTCCGTAGATGCAAAATTTGAGTTTTTGTGCATTTAAAGCTCCTGAATCTTTGCCGCTTCTCGCTCGTGTTTGCGAAATTGCAGCTTTGCCTCTGTGTAACGCTTATTGCATCGTAGAACTTTTTTATGTAGTAGACTTTTTGTTGACTAAATGACAACCTCTGAAACTTGTAGGAATTATGTACGTCGGATAACAAGAGTATTTGCGTCAGTTTATAAACGAGGTTTTTCGGTTTTTTCGCACATGCAAGCTTGCGATTGTAGTTTTTTTTTACCGTTATTCTATTATCTATTTAAATGCGGGCTTCACTGTCTTGCCATGTTTAATCTTTTTCACTGTAAAATTTTCGCTTGTTTAACAAAAGAGTTTTTTCACGTTTAAGCAATATCGTATATTGCAATGGTTGAGTTTTTTTGAGTTTCCAGTTTGAATTCAGTGTTTATTTCACCATTTTTGAAATTAGCAACCCAATAGTGGGATGCTGGCAGGGCTGCCAATTATTTGTTTACGAGATACGACGATTTTTGTGATTTTTCAGAATTTTTCAGAAAACTCAAATTAAAAAGAAATTCATTAAATTTGCAATTCCCAACCCTATAATGGGGTGCTTTCAGAGTACTCTCAAGGATTGTGAATCTCGCCTCCAAATATGACTGCTGAAATTCTTTTTAGTTTTCGAGATATGACGTGTTTGATTATTTTTTAAAAAAAATTTCAGAAAACTTATATTTAAAAAAATCAAGATTTGAAATTCCTAGCTTTGTAGTTGGGATCTATTAGGGTACTCTCAGCAGTTTTAACTTGCAAATTTTGTGTCCAAATGCGACTGCTCAATTACTTTTTTTCTCCGAGATTTGACGTTTGTTCGGTCATTTAAAAAAAAATTGTTCAAAGAACTTAGATATAAAAAGGTTCACAAAACTTGAAGTTCTAATCTCTAGAGTGAGGCTCCTTCAGGGTTCCTCTAGGGCTAAGGAATTTTGACTACAGTTTTGACTGCTCAAATCTTCGTAAGTTTCAAGATATGACGTTTTTTTTTAGAAAACTTATTTGAAGTTTCTCAAAATTGAAATTTCCAATGCTGTAGTTAGGGGCTGCGAGATTACTCTCAAGAGCTGCAAATCTTGCGTCCAAATGCGTGCGCTCAATAGCTTTTAGTTTCCGAGATGTGACATTTTATGTGTAATTTTAGAATTTTCCAAAGAACTTAGATATAAAAAACTTCACTAAGTTTTATGGTTTTTCTAAACTTGAATAAAAAACAATTTGAAATTACCAACCCTGTAATTGTGCGCTCTCTTAGAACACTCAAAGGATGCACTAACGGTTTTTTATGAATTGTGAAAAATAAGAAGCACCGGAGGTGCTTTACGCGCTAGTCTTCGTTATATCCTTAGTTCTTTAAAACTAACTTATTTTTTCCAACCGAAAACGCTCATTTTAGTGCATAGATTTTCTTCCATGAATTTTTAGCAAGCGTTATTAAAATTATAGTTTCTCAAGGATTTTTCTTATACACTTTTGAAGATATCGGACTCTCAAGCTCACTTGTAAAAAGACATTTACTTCGGCTTTACTTTCTGTAAACTTTGGAAATTTTTCAATAAACTTCAATAAATCAAGCGCTTTTTTGTTCCCGTGTCGTATATTTTTCAAGAGTTAAGAATGTAGTGAAGACTCAAATAGTAAAGCTTAAGTGATTTTTTGTGTTTTTTATAGGAACAAGTCATAAGGCGTTTTTAAGCTCAATTCTGTTTGTAGCTGTTTCAATTTTGATTTTTTTTAAGTGCAGTTCATTTTGGTTGTTAAAAGGAAGGCAAACTCCCCTATCGAACAGCAAAAGTGTAAACTTCACGAAAAACGTGATCGATTTCAAGGAACCAGTTTTTTTAATTTGGTTAAATTTAATTAAAAAGCACCAATCATAAATTGTTCTTGAAATTCAAAGAGCTTCATGGGTATATATTTTTCTTTAAAATGCGAAAGATGAAGTTTTTTTTCATTAAAAAAATTGTTTTTTTTTTGTTTCTTCGCGTTCTCTTTTCTAACTCTCAGTTCGCTTTATTGATATTTTTCAGGAAAATGGTGTTCACGCTCTAATTTGATTTTTTGAAGTCTAACTTTGATATTTAAAATTCAATTAAAATTACTTTGCTAAAGGGAAAAGTCTAATTATAGCCTTCTTTTGCGAAAATGCAATTCAGCCGAAAAAATGCTTGACTTTGGTTCAAAAGTACATTTTTTGTTTCACATTTCCCAGTGAAATAGAATTTTCACCTATTGATCTATTTTTATAAAAGATGATTAGTTGATAATTGACAAGAGTTTTAAGACCATTTTTTGTGGAAAAGGTTTTTAAAATAACATGTCATTTTCTAATTTTTTGTTCTTTTTGTTGATACTCAAAAACTGTTGATGGTTGGCAAATGCTCTGTTCGCAGTTTTTGTTGGAAATCTAGCGAAGTTTCAAGTTCCGTTTTTCACCGTTTTTCCAAATAGCTCTTTGATAGTGTAGAACAAAGTGGTTCTGACTTATATAGGTTGTGGATATTGTTTGTTTATTTTTGTTCAGAAAAAGTCTTAAAATTTGTTCACGCTCAAGTTTGATTATTTGCTGTGTGGCTTCTGATTTTTGAATGTCAATTCTTTTCCTCTATTTAAAGGAAGGCAAGTTAACTAACTAGTGTAGAGGTCACGAAAACTTAAATGATTTCTAGTTTTAAAAAAGGACTTGATTTTTTGAAATGCCAGCAGATTAAAATCGTAACCTTTTGATCCCGTTTTCTCTGAATTGGCTATTTTTTTTAACGTGTCAATCATGAATAGCTCTTGAAATTCAAAGAGCTTTAAAGCCGTATATTTTTCCCTTTGAAATATATATCTCTTTTCTTCGAAACTTTGAAAAATTTTCAATCAACTTATTTTCGGTACCTTTAACTTCTCTTAATTTTTCCAACCATCTGTTGGCTATGTTTTTTTTGTGTAACAGGAGTTTTGTGATTGTTGCTCTCGTATTAGACTGCATGCTTGGTATCCTGGAGTAATTCTTCTAAGTGTTAATTTTAAGCGAATTTGACAAATGAATGGCAAATTCCGCACTACAAAAACAAACGCGCAATCAGCGCGAAAAAAAATGTGAATGATTTTTAGGTTCAAAGGTGGATATCCAAGCGGAATAAAAGTTTTACCTTTGATCCCGTTTTCTCAAATTGGGGTAATTTTACCAAAAAAGTATCACTAGTAAAAGGTTCTTGTAGTTGAAAGTGGGTTAAGGCCATGGTTTTGTATTTGAAAAAGAGCTTCAAAAAAATCAGTCGTTCATTGACACTTTTCCAACTTTCTGTTGGCTATGTTTTGAATCTGTGTTCGAAACACTTCAAGCTTACTGAAGAGCAACCGAATACTTTTTCAAAATCGCTCTCTACTTATATGGTCATTGGAAATTGTGTAGGAGAAACTGCCGTTTGATTTTGACGTGGAGCGCATTATAGACGACTGGGTGCTGATGGGGTTTCTGGTTGGCAATGACTTCCTGCCTCACCTGCCTTTCCTCCACATCAACAAGAACGCACTGTCCATACTACACAACACATACATGCGCATACTACCCACTATGGACGGTATGAAAGTTGTAATATATGTTCAGGCTCAAAATTAATTTTCAGCGGTTTGACTTTTGATTTCTTTCTGGAAATTCAAAGAGCTTTAAGGGCATATATTTTCCCCTTTGAAATTCGAAGGTTTTACAAAATGAAACGAAAATCCTCCTGACATATTCCTGTTATGGTGTAGGTAATTGAGTTCCCTAAAATTTGTTGATAAAAATTTTTTATTTTGTCTTTCATTCTCCCCAAAGAAGAATGAAGACTTTGTCTGATTGCAAAAATTTGAAAAAAGTTTCGACTTTTCCTCTTTTCATAAATGATTTCTTAGCCTGGCTTAAGTCAAATCCGCTTTTATGAATCATGCGCGAAAAGTCCGATTTATGTCAATTTAAAAGAAAGTTTTTACAGTCAATTTTGTTTTACAATTGAGCGCTCGAATATTTTTGAACCACAAATGGTGCGAAGCTCTGCTTCGTCTGTATAAAAATTAGTATACGGCTGAATAAGGCTATTCCAATCAAATATGGTCTTCTTACCTAAAACTAGCCGAAAAAAAAACAACTCGTGATGACGGGAAAAACACTCAGATTTTCAAATAATTTTCGGTACTCGTTTATTTAGGTTACCTGAATGAGGATGGAGCGCTGAACTTGGAGAGGTTTGAAATATATTGCAGAGCCCTGGGCGAGGTATGTGTCAATCAATCGAAAATGATTTAAAACATTGCCGGTAATTTATTATTGTCTCTAACCTAGGTTGTGCAACGTTTTACATCAGTTATTTTTTATCCTCTCCCTTTCTTGTCGGAATTTTGATACTATTCTTTTAGCTTGCTTTTTTTAAAGGCGGACCGAGAGTATTTTGACGACATCAATGCAGACATGCAGTGGATGAAGAGCAAGCGGCTGGGAGATGCGATTGAACAGCACCACCAGACACACCTCTCACCAACCACCACAAGCACAAACAGCGCAGCTACAGCTGTGGACAAATTGGCCTCAGGGACCGGTGGTGGAGAACGCTGGCTGCAACGTAAGATGTCTATTGAAATACGTTTTTTTATGCGCCCTGATGAGATGAATGCTTTGGCTGTCTCAATGGAAATTTTACAGATTTGGATGATTACGTCTCAAATGGCATAATTCCCAAATGGCATAAAAAGTTTTAAATTTCCCAAATGGCATAAAAAGTTTTAAATTTCCCAAATGGCATAAATTTCTAAAACATTCCCAAATGGCATAAAGTTTTGTAAATTTCCCAAATGGCATTAACAGTTCAACTTTTGAAAAGTGACAGTAAGATTTAAATTAACTTGTAAACAATATAACCGGAATATTCAATAGAAAGAAAGAAATCAATTGAACTTTAATTTTTACAAGTTTTGGCAGATTTCTGAAATACTATCCCAATACTCGTCAATATCAAGCGATTGCATTTCGAATCTTTGTTTCACGTTCCATCAGAAAGAATAAAAGTTCCATCAGAAAGAATATTTCTACATTTCGAAAGTGCTTTCAATTGCCATTCGCTTGAGAAAATCACAATACCCCACTCTCTGTCGATTTTTAATAAAAACTTTTTTCCATCCTGTGTTTCTGCCCATTCATCTCGAATTCTTAACGATTCGATACTTCTAGGAATTTTAGGCAGCATTGTGTATCGTTGGCGATACAATGTCGATTTTACATTTCTGAATGAGACGACACTTGTATCACTGGCTGCGGCTACAATTTTTTTCGTAACTTTGGGCAACTGACTCGAGCGGGTTTTGGAAAATTTGCGAAAGAATTTTAGTTTTTAAAGTGAGATCTTTATAGCGGTTATAGTCGGGCATATGGGCATGAGAAGTTGGATGAGTCAACAAGGTATCCATTTCAATATTTGAAGTGAGCCTGGAGCCGCATTTGGTGTAGCTTCGATTTTTTTAATAAAAATATCCGTCATAATACAAATTGCAACCTCGTCCATTTTTGAAAACTTCAATTTGGCTCATTTTTAAGAATTTAGTTCGGCTTGAATTAAATGTTGATGAGTGATTAAGTAATTTGTTGACAAGTGAACAAAATAAGGCGTGAAAACTGTCTGGAAAGATCTTACTTTTTCACGCCTCAAAGTTTTCACACCTTTATTGAAAATGTTTATGCCATTTGAGAATTAATTTGTTATTATGCCATTTGGGAGTTATGCCATTTGGGAAGTTACCACTTGGATGTTACAATTCTTAATCGAGATAGAAGTTTTCATTATACTTGCGACTAGCGAGCGTTATCAAATCACAATATAGAATTTTTCAGTTAAACAATATGTTGAGCAAATGTCATAAATCATTTGAAAGCTTGACTGATAATTACACACGCAGCCGTATTGTAATACTACGAAGAATATTTTTCCAAACTAAGTCGCAACTAAAAGTGCTCATTTAGTGATGCTTATGGTATCGTACTATAAGCATTTTAATGGCAGATGTTGACGCTTTATTTGTGACTAGTGTTGGCTTACTTCGAAAAGACCGTGGCGCAGATGCGACAACGTAAAACTCCTGAATTACAGATTTAAATCCGAATTTTTGCGAGGCTTATTTTTACTTTTTCATTTTTCCGTCTCTTTTTTCACTTTGTTTTTGACTTATTAGAGCTAATTGTTGCCGTTTTCTCGCTTGGTTTTGCAAAGTGCAGCTTCGCTTCTGTGTCAATTTGATTTTTTCAGCTTCTCCGGTACTCTTAGTCTTGACAAAACGTCCACGTCTGGGACGGCGAAGATCCTTGCAGGACCCGTTTTCTTTTCAAACTGAAATTTTCCCGTTTCAAAGAAATTGTCGGCCTTGACAACCTGGCGTCTCTCCTCTCTCTCTCTGTCTATATCTTGTCAGTTTAGTTGCCCCATCAAGGACGTTTATTGTGCTGTAAGCAGTTTCATTGTAATTGAAATTCGTTTTTGCTTTCAGCGTGAAATTTGTAAATCTACTAACCCCTGTCTTTCTATGTTGTCCTTCTTTTCGCTCAAAAATTTTTTCGCTCTGATAAGATTTTGACTCATGTGATATCGACTCAGTGCCCTGATTTTGCGTCGTTTGAAAGGAATATTTTTGATACGCTCGTGTTTCTGGAGGAGGATGTAACAATTTAGTGTTTCATGACAACTGCTTTGTTTTCGGATCAACGGAAATTTACCCAACTTTTGTCAGCTTAGGTGCCCATCCTAGAGTTGAACTTTATTCGAGATTAGCACTTGGAACTTTGTTGCTGTAGTTTTTGTCGTAGAGGTAATGCTAATTTTGTGCAGTGTGCAAGTAGTGGTGCGGAGCTCGGCTTAACTGCTATGTTATAAATGGGTAGATTTTATCAAAAAAAAGTATCAATCATAAATTGTTCTGAGTTTCAATGAGCTTAAAGAACAAGTCAGTATTTTTTCCTGTTTTCATGCGTTCATTGGCTCTCTTCTATTTGTTTTTGTCTATGATCTAGTGAGAGTAGTATTATACTACGAATCATTTTTTTCCTACGCAACTTGCCAATAAAAAATCTCATTGTTGGCGTTTTTTCCTGAATAGCGTCAACAATTTAGTAACATGTTTTTTGCTTTATTGGTGTCCAGTGTTTGCCTTTTGTCAAGTGACCGTGATGCAGGTGCGTATAGGTCTGCCGTTCAATTCCGGCACATAGAAAAAAGTTTCTTGCTGAACCTTATATTAACTCTTTCAGCTTATTTCACTTTTCCTTTTGAGAACATGTTTGCCGATCTCTTGCTTCGCCTCTGTTTTAGTGGTTAAGTTAACAAATTTTGAGTTTAAATGACCTTTGAGATTCGAGATGAAATACAGCAAACACTATTTACCCGCGCTTTAGCTTTCGTGCGGAATGTAAGCTCAGTGGAGGGCTATTTTTTGGGCTAGTTTCAATAAAATTTTGGTTACACCTTTGAAGCTATCTAGGCACTGGGCTCAAATGTAAGAAGATGCTTTACTTCTGATCAATTCTGTGAAAATTTGGAGAATTGAGAAACTCGAAAAACAAATAAAATGGGGAATCAGGATAATAATGAATATAAGCAAACGAGATTCCGTCACACTTCTAAGGAAACAGCACAAAATTCCTACTGCTCGGAATATAATCGAGTACCGATCAGCACACTACCTTCACAGGTTATGCCGAAACGATGCTCCAGCTTTCACGCATATAAGATTCCCAAATTCTGAATTCCGCTATAACCATCGAACTGGAACATTACTGTTCCCTTTAACATGTAAAACTGATTTCCTTCGTAAGTCTTTCTTATTTACATCAATCAGAAACCTTAACACAATAATCCGAACCTTGTTTAATCGAAAACTACCGTACACATTGACAAAAACTCTGATTAAAAATTTCATCATAGGAAAAGATGACACCCTGTTACCCAATAAGGAGAGTCTTTCCGCATCCAAGGACATTTATTTTGTTAAATCAATTATTTGATTCGTCCTCGTAGTAATTTATGTTTTTTCTTGTTATGTTATATAACCATTGCGTAATATTGTACACTAGATTCTTATACAATCAGTTCTGCAACTGCATAAGTATATTGAAACAATAAAGTGTCCCCTCTCTCTCTCTATCTCAATTTGCTGGACTAAATTATGCGCATATCTATGAACTCTATTCGCAAGCGCGACATTTTTTAGCGCGGAGATTTAAATCAGTTTCCCACGTTTTATATGTGTAAGCTCATTTTCGTCATTTTGCTTGTTTTTGCGAAGTACAGCTAAGCTTATGTGTAAACTTCTTTTTTTTTGCTAATAGTGTTAAGATTTTTTCTATGAAACTCGATCTTTTGTGTTTAACATGAATGGTTTCCAATTGTCTGATTTTTTCAGAGCTCGAAGCAGGCTTTTTGTTTGATGAAGATGATGATGATGCTGAGGGTCTAGAAGGGGACGATGACAAAAAAGAATCAGATTCTAAGAAAGTTTCCATCCCGAAGACCAGCAATGTCACCGAGCTAAGGTATGACGCTCACCATAGTTGCTCCAGCTTCTATACCAGTTGACACTGATCTTTTCTGATCGTTTTTCATTTCTTCAACTATGTTTTTTCAACAATTTTTTGCAACAATTTCAGTTTTTTTGTTGAACTAAAATCCGCACCACATCCAGTTTAGTAAATTGTTTTTGTACCGTTGCCGTTAGCATTTACTGTTGTAGATCTCTCTTCTCGCACGAGTTCCAGTCGGGTACTTACGATAATGAGGAAGGAGACGAAGATGGAACAAGGCAGGACTTATCAGAAGACAATCTGGAGTACCTGCACTGGAAGAGGGTTTACTACATTGAGAAGTTCAAGATACAAAATCCAGACATGTAAGTTGGAAGGGGTTAAGCAACAAATCGTCACAAGCCTTAATTCGTAATCAGTGAAACAGTGGATTTAACCCTTCTGAGGTGTTCCAACTCCTGTGCTCTCCAAGGTTACCACCCTTGGTGCTATTCTTTTGGTTGACAACTGCTTAAATTTTTCTGTATGTACAGTTTTTGAAGACAAGGAAAAACTTTTTTCATCAAAACCTTCCAAAAAATGCACTGAAACTTCGTTTTTGGCCGTGATGCGACAATTGGTATTAGGCGAAAGTTCCTAACAAGTGACAATTCGTAACAGTAGATTAAACGGAGAGCACTGATTTATGCGCAGTATTTCTCTCGTACCGGAGTTAAGCGCAGCGGAGCAAGCGCATTCTACTTGCCAATGCCTTGTTACGAATTGTCCCTTGTCGTTCCGACCATTTGAAAAATGTGGAGGAACTTGGTATTTAACGTGTTGTAGTTTTTTCTTGTTTTTTTTTGTTTTCCACGCAAAATCAGGTACCACAAAAAATCATCGGAAAAGTCGAGTGATATATCATATTGAAGCCTTTTCAATCATGATTCGAAGGAAATTAATAATTTGTGAAAAAATTTCTCAGTGTCGAGAAAAACAGGTTCAACATTTTTTGATTGTGGGTCTAATTTTGAGCTAGTAAGGTCAACATGCAGGCTTACAATAGCTTATTTAAGCTTAAATTAGGCCGCTAAAACTTGTTTTTTTTTCTTGTGTTAGTTTTTCGAGTTTTCAGCGAAATTTTAGGAAGCAAAAAATGCTAAAATTTCTGCAAAAATAAACAAAGTTATTAAATTGTTTGTATGATTTTTTCTCGTTTTTCTAGACATTTTTGTGACAAACTGAGTCCAATATTCAATTTTCTTTACTTTTTTTTATTCATTCTTGTAAATGAACCTTTGAGAATAGTTAAATAGGTTTTTACTTATAACAATGAAGGGCTGAAGCAAAATAATGAAACAAGACCGTTGAATTTTATGTACCGTAATTTTTGTTTACGTGTTTGTGAAAAAGAAGAAATGGTTAAGAAAGTTTTAGCACATTTCTGTAATGTTTTTAGGGATTTCATCCGACAACAAGTGGAACTATACATCAGAGCCCTGCAGTGGAATTTGCACTATTATTACAACGGGGTGCAGTCTTGGTCATGGTAAGACAAAGCGTACATTTCCGATTTTTGGATGCAAAATAAAATTTTTTGATGATACCTACTTTTAAACAACAAGTCTGACAGCAGAATGATTTTTGCAGAAAGTTTTAATGACGAAAAATATGGACTTAATCTGTAGTATTTGAAGCTCTCATAATGAGTGTCGCAGGTTTTACTCTCAACACTACGCTCCATTTGCCTCCGATCTGCGTGACTTCACAGACGTGGACATGAGTTTTGACCTGGCAAAGCCGTTCAATCCCTACGAACAACTGCTAGCTGTTCTACCAGAGAGGTCTCGCAATCTCCTCCCGGATGCCTACTCACATCTGATGGTGAAGGGCCCTATTGTGGACTTCTACCCCGAGGAGTTTGAGCAAGACTTGAATGGAAAGCAGATGGACTGGGAGGCTGTGGTGCTAGTGCCCTTCATAGACGAAGTAAATCCAGCTTGAATTGAATGATTTCCGGAAAGCAAAATTAGAAATAGCGATTAAGATCTAGTCTTCATAGTAAGATTTATTATACATGTAGAATGGTTAAGTGAATACGAACGAAGTGTTCATTCATTAAGAGTCAACCTCTTAAGTAGGTCGCAATGATTTTCTTGTTTTTTTAGGCGAAAGTCCCAAATTTTTTCTACGCTCAAATTTGACTTTTCGCGGTTTACTTTTTTTCAAGTTTAGTTCATTTGTTTTGTTAAAAGGAAGCCAAACTCTATCAAACAGCTAAAGGTCACGAAAAACGTGATTGACTTCTATTTTCGAAAGTGGATTTTAATTTTCAGATTTTCCAGCGAAACAGTTTATCTATTGATCCAGGTTTGTCAAATTGGGTTATTTTTTTGAATTGCTTATTTCTTTTTTTTCCATTGTTATTGCACTTGCGAGAGCAAGTTTCTTGTAATCGAGAACTAGACTTTTTTCCCGTAAACAACTGTTCTGCACATCTGTATGAAATTGAAGTTGCTTTATTAGTGAACCTTTGCATCTTCGAGACTCCTTCCCACTTGGCTTAAAGGTAACGCGGTTTTCTATGTACCCTGAGGTCTGGGTTTTGATTCCCGGCTGGATTTTGCTTTTTTTTCTATGTGATTGAAATTGAAAATTGTTTATCTGGGAAAAATTGAATGGTCGGGCTTTCGTTTGTCTGCTTATGTTTTGTTTGCTTAGTTACCACGTCGGTTATTTTTCTTGTGCAAGTGTTTTTGATTTACTCACTCCTGTTATTTTTAAAGTTACTTGTTCCGACCTTGTATGGTTTCCCAAATTTTTTCGTTTAAAAGCTTTATTTGACCTAATTGCTTTAGGCTTATGTTTTTTCGGCGTACTTGCCTTATTTTATGGCGTTTCAAAGACAAAAAATGTTTGGTTTTCCGGAAATTCAGGTTGCTTTTGTTGCAAGTTTTCAATGTTTTTACACTTGCGAGGCAAAGTGTATCAGAACGAAGTTTATTTTTGTTCCAGCCTAAGTCGCAAATAAAATTGCTGCTTTTGGTGGCACTTTTGAAGCGGTAGGCTGCTGTAGCAGTATAAGATCATATGTACTTTGACGTTTGATTCGTAAAAAGTTAACTCAGCTGATGCATTTTTAATTCATTAAATGAACCGAAAAAAAATTATTTGTTTCAAACAGCAGTACAATGATAAAAAGCTCGATTTCAGAAATTTTCCAACTCGATGTATCTTGCGCAGATTTTACGCAGATTTAAATCTGATTTGAATTAGCCGATTTTTTGCTAATTCGAGGCTTATTTCTAAATTTTTTTATTTCACTTGATAGAGCTGCTTTTCGGACGTGTTCTCGCAAGTGTTTGCGAAGCACAGCTTCGCCTCTGTAAAACTTAATTCCTCACTTTTTTGTAAGTATAAATTCTGATGGCATTTTTAAGGTTCGGATTATGGCGTAGTTCGGATTATTATATAGGCCGTCATTATTTTTTTGTTTTTTTTTTCTGGAAAAGTCTTAAAATGCTCTTAAAACAGAAGAAGTGCATTCATACTTAAAAATGCACCTATTAATGCCTTCAAGTGTATATGACTTTTTCGAGTTCAATTCAAGATCATTTGCTAGAAGGTAGGCAAAAAGCGCTCTCCAAATATGAAAACTGAAATGGCGCAAAAAAACTTGATCGATTTCTAGTTTCGAATGTGGAATTTATTGTTAGATTTAATTAGTATGAAGTAATTTGTTTTTCGAAATTCGAGCTCAAAGTTTTACCTCAAAATGTTTTGTTTTTGGCTTTTTTCGTCAATCAAAATTTACGCTGAAACTACTGTGTCCATTACTGCAAAGAAAATTATATCAAAGTAAACCCAACAAAGTTTAAAAAGCGTGTTATCTCTAAAAGTTTGAGTAAAATGTTTTAAAAAGTTTTCAAATAAAAAATGGGCAAAGTAAAATTATATACCATTTTAAAATTTTGTTGGGCTCTAAAAGAAGCTCACTTAGATATAGTTTTGCCAGTAATTGACCCGGTAGTTCAGCGTAAATTTTGATTGACGAAAAAAGCCAAAAATAATCCATTGTTGGGCTAAAATTATGGGCCCGAATTTCGGAAAACAAATAACACCATACTCTGCTAAAATTGTAGCATATTTGGAAAACAAATTAATTGTGCTAAAATTCTGTGCAAGTTTTGGCTTCATCATTTTTTGTCTAAAATTTACCAAGTTTGAGAAAAACGCCTTTTAAATTTCAAGTTAGGCGTTTCATCCGGTTAATTTAAATCACCACTATAAGCCGCTGTAGCGCTAAAGAGATGATTGAAAAAACCTAAAATTAAATATTATTTCAGGAAAATTGTAGCAATCAACCGATAAAAGTAAATGATGTATATGCATATTTCTGCGTTAAGTTGCGTTGGTAATTTTTGCCAACAGTAGTTTCTTTTAGCGAATTTAAATTGCATGCGCAATTTCTGCAGAATGAAAGCGCAATCATTGCTACCTGGTTTCTATTTGTCAAGAATGTTTGAAAACTGAGTATACAAATCTTGGAGTTGGTCAACCGCACAATTTTTAACTCTTGTCTTAATTGTAGCATAGACTGCTGGATGCCATGTCCCAGTGGACTGGACGTCTGAAGTTGGACGAAAAAAGACGCAATGCGCGGGGATCGATACTGGTCTACCGATTCGATAGATCACTGGACTACGAGTACCCTGCAGTGCATCACTACGACACAATGGATCACTGCAAGGCTAAAATCACAGAACATCCCTTTAATAAGTGGGCCATAAGCAAGCAAGATGTGAAACACGGTAAGACTGGGTATAACTCTCAGCAACATGAAGCTAAAAAACTCCAAAAACTAGTTTTACATGCCTAAATAAGTTAAATTAGGCATAATTCAGCTCGTAAGCCTAGATGCGCACACCATATTCGTTCCAAATTAGACCAATAATCAAAAATTTCAAACCGGTTTTTATCGACACTGGGAATTTTTTTGTAAATGTTCGAATCACGACTGAAAGGGCTTTAATATGACATATCACTCAACCCAGTCCGATGATTATTTGTAGTACTTGATTTTGCGTGGAAAGATAAACTAAAACATTATAAGCGTGAATCAAAGGTTCTTCAATTCCGGAGAGATTTATGAAAGTCGAAGTATAAAAAAAAGAATCGAATACATTAACCGTATGTTTTCGGTTTCCTGAGTTCATTAAAAGTTTTGCTATTTGCTGGTAGCTGTTTTTTCATTTTCAAATTTTTCAATCTGTTATCTTGCGTACTACCAGAGTTGAAATAAGCCTCAATAATCAAGTGATTAGAAGTGATTGCGTAGTGTGATAATATGGTGCCACTTTTAGATAATTTTTTCTCAAATGTATACTTTTATAATTTAGCTTGCATAATTTGAGCATATTAGCATTTTAAATACCTGTTGTATTCGAGATTTCTTTTAATGTTTATTATAAGTTTTCATACTCTGATTTGGCGTAGTTTTTTCTTTGTTTTTAGTGATTCGACTCAAAAAGTTTCTATTTATTTAATATAGGTGCAGTGGCCTTTTTTTGCCTATTTTGATGAGCAAAAAAAAACAATTTTATGTGTTTTCATGATTTGAGGAGGAAGTTGAAATTTTTTTTCATGAATTTTATTGGCTCGAAGGGTGTATGCTCAGACATTGTCGGCTTTGTTAACTTTTGATTCGATATTAATTTAACAATCATATGTTTTAAATGGCTCGTTTTTAATTGGCTTTTCTTTTGCGGGAATTTTTTTGGAAAACTTTTTTGGAATTCGAATGGTTCTAAGAAGATACCACATCTGACCCTGTACGAGCTGTCTTTGCTTCTCAATGTTGCTCGGGAAAATCGCTATGCATCATAATGCATTAGCGCTCTGCGATAGTTGTCGTAACGATAACAAAACAAGGCATGCTGTTTCAAGAATAGTCGGACGCTATCATAGCATCCAAGCATTGATTTAGAGTAATTTTGTTGAAATTGTCGGGGGCAAAGCTTTTAGCATGTGTGCCCATTAGCATGCGATAGTTGCTTTATCTGGGTGTGCTTTATAAGGTAGGGAAGGAGACCCGCAACAAAATAAGAGGGTTGGAACCAGGGCAGGGTCGGATGTTTGTAATGAACTTCTTCGTATATTAGTTAAAATGCGTCCATTCTATAAATTCAGGCATGTTAGTTGCCAAATTTCTTTTTTTTCAAATTGACTGGTTCTGCTAATGCGTCATAGTTGGCTTGCGTGACTTAGCAGTTATGTAGACTCATAATTGGTGTGCGTCACTTAAGGAATTTTGTAGACTCGAAGTTTTACTCATTCACTTTTTCCAAGTAGCGTTATCGGTCGTATCTTTGCTTGTGTATGCGAAGTGCAACTTCGCCTCTGTGTAAAAATTTGGCTAAGTGAGTAAGAAAAACGTGAAATAGCGAATATTCAATTTACATTTTTTGGGCATGCTAATTGACACACATGCATTTGTCCGTTTCGCTCGACAAAACAAACGGCTATTGACACTCTTCAAATGCCTTCTGGCCATGTTTTTTGACAAAAAGTAAAGCAGTAGCCAAATTTTGGATAATTAATGAAAAATGCAACGTCAGGCTGAAATAGCTTAAGCATGATAAAGAAGGGAACTACCGATGGAAAATTTTACTGTAGTTTATTTCAGGTTTGCTAGAGGGAGTGAAGCTAGATGTCTACTTCGATGGATTCCCAACGACGAAACACATCGAGTACACGGTTAGTCTGACAAATTAGTCAAACAAATCCCTTTGTAAACAAATTCAACGGTATACGTCAATAGGCACAAAAAAAATTTTCTTTTCTTTGAAAACCATCGAAATTGCGTGCAATTGAGAAACTTGTTGCTCCATAATTTGGTCAATTGATATAGTTTTTATGTTAAAGAATCTTTCTCGAAATTTTCCTTGTTTCTTAAGTTTTGACCGCAATTGAGACCGATCATTGTCATCAGTTGAGGTTGATCTTCTATGACAACCAAATAAGCGAATATCTGATCGAAATATTGTCTTGTTGTTTCTCATTGTTGCGATTCAAAATAAAGTTGGTTGTTTAGAGTGAGTTGCGGGCAGCTGGAGTGAAAGTGTTCCAAGGCAACAGTCGCAGCGACAATATGATTATCAAAATAACTCCCAGAGACGACCTGAAAGTAAGACCAGAAATCAATTCGAAGTCAGTCAGCAATGTTGCTATTTAATTCGATAGAAACAAACAATTACGTTGCTATGGACAAGATTAGGTAAAAATAACCCCGAATGGGAGGTTCGGGAAGAGAATCATCGTTAATTTTGCATTGCGCGCTGAGTTTAAGAGAAGATTATCTTTTTAGTGTCTGGATGATGCGACGGAAAAATTCTTTTCATCAGCTTCTGAGATGATGGATAATAGTGCGGTGGATCTGAAATCTGTGGTTTTTGTCAAGTGGCCCTACTTGAAAGAAGCCAAAGTTGTCGCAGTTTCAGACAATGACAACAGGTACTTTTTGAGGGAGGGGGGATAATTCCCAAATACAGATAGCAAATGAAATGAGCGAAGTTTGTTGCATATTGGTTCTTTTATTTTTCAAGAGTCGATGAACGTTTTTTAGACTCTTATATGGGTCGTGATGATCTTTTCAAGCAAGTTTTGTCTTCATCAATTTTTGTCTAAAATCAGGCAATTTTGAGAAAAACGCGTTTTAAATTTTGAGTTTTATGCGTTGTCTGAATAATTTAAATCAGCGCTATTGCATATCTCCAACCAATATGCTCTAAATTGCGCAAACTATCGGTTTCTAATTTTGTGCAGAAAAAAAATTGAATTTAAAGTTCTTCTTCACTCCGTGGTCCGAATAAAAAAGCTTGTCTATTCGATCATTGATTTATAATTGAAGATAGAGGAAAGAAATGCGTACTTTAAAAATTATCTAAAATATGAGATTACAGATTTATAAGAAACTAGTCCTATTTTCAAAATGAAATCATTTACTATTTTCAAAATAGTTTTATCTCTTGACTCGGCAGATTTTAATCTATATTTCTGTGAAAGCGAAGCAGTGTTGTTGAAAGAAAAAAAATTTCTAAGAGATGTAATGAGAGTAGATGGTTTTTCCAAGTTATGAAGCTGAATACTACTTTGTTATGCTTGTCAAGTTAAATGTAGAAGTGATTTCAGGCTGTCCAAAGGGAAAGATGGCGAAATTGTGCACCAAGAATTGGCCAAGAAGGACAAAGCAAAACTAAGACAGGAGTATCAGACAATCATAGACTGGTAAGGTACCCCTGAAATTTCATTTAGCCTAGAATAGCCTAGCTTAGTAGTTTATACATACAATCAGGGGCGGATTTAGGGGGGGGGGAGCGCGCCGAAAAAACGCAATTTTTTGGTCAAAATTTTCCAAAACGTGCCTAAAAACGCCTTTTTTGGACTGTTTTTTGAAAAGTTTGCCTGCGGTGCAGAACATTTGGCCAAAACATGGAACAACCCGTGCTAAGGGAGAGCTCAAAAAATCAATTCGTTCGGTCAACCTAAAAAAAGGTCGAAAAAATTTTCGAACATTTTTTGAAAATCCCCCCCTCGAGAAAATCCTAGATCCGCCCCTGCATACAATCTATATGCGACTGCATGTTCGGTGCAATTGAAAATCTAATTAATATTTATACTGCAAAAACGGCATGCACATTTTATTGACGAGGTATTTTGTCGTCAATTTTTAGGTCAGCGATTTTGAATTGTTCCTGCTCAGTCGAAATCCTGGAATATGACCATAGTTTGCTCAACCTTTATGCGCCCTCGGCACTTTTTTGTACTATAAAGAGTTTTCATGGCATTTTTGAAGGTTTTGGCCTGAAAGTTGCACACTCCCCATTCAAACTTAAGATATTCTGTCGCACAAGGCGTTTCAAGAAAATTTTTAGTGTCGGCCAGAGTTGGATTTCGTTAAATTGTAATGAAACTACTATTAAACAATTTGGCAACCAGAGTTGAAGAGGGCGATGCACCCTTCCCTTCAAAACGATGCTTATTTTAAGAAACTCTCCGAAACTATCAGTCCTGGTCAAGGAGTTAAATCGTGATCAGAGAAGTTTTTGAAAGAAAGTCAGCTATTGCAATCAGTTAAATTAATGACTTGTCTTCGGCATTTACCGACACAACAATTTTTGCCCTTGAGATCGGCAAGGATGTTGCAATCGCAATCAGGTATTCGATTTTTCACCGTAAATAACTTAGTTCACAAAATAGTCAAAATTAGAAATGATAAACTTATGTTCAGTTCATATTGAATTCAAATTTCTTTGCCTCTGGAGTACCTCACTAGCCGGATACGGCAATGTGTTTCAGTGTGCCGGAGATGTGGTGAGGGATTTAAAGAACTTATCCTAAATACCGGTTTAAATCCTTTGCAACATTTCCGGATCACTTGGTCAGGAGGTTGAAAATACGACTGGGACAGCAAAGGTCCTGGGTTCGAATATAACCGAAATTTTTTAAAAACCGTTTCCAAAAAATTGTCGGCTTAATATGTGTTTGCTGATGTTGTTGTACGCAGCTTACATTGTTTTTCCTTTTAGCGCTTTGATTCTTTCTGCTGTTAACACTAGCGATCTGCTTAGTGTATTATTACGAACCTTCTTTTTTTTCTAACTTAACTCGCAAATAAAAGTGTTCATTGAAAACGTTCACTTATTTGGAAATTTCATTGTAGCATTGGAAATTGCATAGCATATGTTCTCTGCTTTTTATGGCTAGTGTTGGTACCTATTAATTAAGCTTCCGTACGTATAATTTTGGCTTATATTGTATCGGTTTAGTGACCTCTTGTTCAGTCATAAAATAAAAATATAAGACAAAAAATGGAGGTTTTTGTCTGCTTAATGATTCCGTCGCAATTTTGTCGGCTTAGTGGCTGGGTGTTTTATATCTGTAATTTTTTCGGTAGATTTTTTTGTAGTTTTTTAAATTTTTCAAGTGGTTAAATATAGTTCATGGTTTCCTGGTTTTCATACTCGCCAAAGTTTTCTGTTATTAAAGAAAATTTGCATTCATTTTTCAGTTTTTTCGGGTGCAAATTTTATTATTATTTTTTCTAATATAAAAGTGCGTAGAATTAGTTTCAATTTTAATTACCCTTGCCTATTAGCAAGGGTATTGCAATCGGGTACTAGATTTTTTCCGTAAACAATTTTGATCTCATGATCTTTTCATCTCTTGGGCTCCATCTTCTAACAGTCTCAGTATCTTGAAAATTCAAATAAAACTACTATAGTTTAACAAGTATTTAGGTAAAGCCCGCATCAGGTTGTAATTGTTTTTTCAAAAATTTTCTCATTTTTTCGGCCTAGTTTCTGTCAGTTCATTTCCCGATTTTTTGAAAAACCATTTTTTATATGATAGGAGATCATTGACTTACTTTTTAAAGCATTTGAGCAAATTTGTACTACAACTAAAGCTCAGTAAATTGTAAATTTACCAAGTCTGGTTTTGGTTTATTTTTTTCTTTTTTTTAGCATCTTTTTTATATTATTTAAACAGTACCAGTTGTTGTATCGGCTCTGTCAACTTTTATTGCATAATTTCAAGAGCAAAGATATTCGCATGCGATTATGTGGTTCATTTAGCATGGGTCGCTATGTGTTTATTGATGTGTTTAAGGATTCAGCAATTTTATTTGAAGTCCATTCAAGTTGATGGAAAAGCGTTATGTTTTTGTGTCAAAATTTTTTCGAAAAACTGCATAAATTTCGAACATTTTTTGGCAATTATGGTTTGACCTCTTTCTCTGCCAAGATATATGGCAATTGTCGCGTGTTTTCTTTTGAAAACAAAATTGTTTGCGTGTTTTTTTAAAAATTTTTATACGGGCGTTTTTGTCTTTGTTTTCTTTTTTTTTTGATCCAGCTCTCTTTACGTTGCGTATCAAGTTCATATTTGATACCGTTGATGTAATTAGGTTATTTTGATCATTATCAGAGTTGTTTTCAGATTTTCTTTTTTTGATTTTTTGTTTCTATAAATAGGGTGGGGGAAGAACTGTACTACGCATAAACGTGCGTTTCATGAAGTTTTTTTTTGGATTTATAAAGTGTTTCCTTATTATTTATCCTACAGTTTTTTTTCAACAGAATTCAATTAAACTTTTTACTTATGGTTTGAGACACATTGTCTTTTGATTTTTGACATGTTATTCTGTATCGAAAGTGGTGCGAAGCTCAGCTTCGCCTCTGTTTGAAGTAGTATCAGAACTACAAGAATACCTATTTAGAAATAGGAATTTCGCGTTTGTTAAAAAAAGTTTTATTATAACTTCTTCGCATAGTTCCGACCACTGAAAGAGGGAAGCAACTTTGTATTCGGGTGTGTTTTATTTTTTGTTCCGACCACTGAAAATGGGGAGGCACTTTGTAGTCGGGTGTGTTTCAGTTTATTTTTTCGCGCAAAATCAAGTAGCACAAATAATTGCTGTAATGATTCGAACGATATGTCATATTCCAGCCTTTTCAGTCGTGCTTCGATTGACCTCAAAAATTTTCAGAAAGTTGTCCCAGTATCAAGAAAAACAGGACAGGTTATGATTTTAAAAATTTTTTCAAGCGAATAAAGCGAGCGATCAGGCTTACAATAGCTTATTTATGATTTAATTAAGCCGAGAAAATTGAGTTGTACTTGATTGTTTGCAGGTTTTTGCGTCATTTTAAGAATCAAAAATTCAAATAACTTACGGACAAAAACAATTTGAAAAAGTAAATGATTTTTTTAAATGATTTGTTGTCCAATTGGCTTTTTTTACCCTGACTGTGGAATATAAGTTCTAGTTTTTTGTTCAGATCCTTTCATCAGACCACGCAGAAAAAGCCCCTTTAATTTGAAAAAACTTGTTTTTGTTTGTCTGGTTTTTAAGACTTTTCGTGGGAACATTCAGTGCTACTTGCACAGTAACAGGCTATCTTTTTTGTTTTCTACGCAAAATAAGGTACCACAATTACTGGGTTGAGTGATATATCATGTTAAAGACATTGCAGTTGTGATTCAAACGACATAAAAAATTTCTAAAAATTTTTTCAGTGTAGAGAAAAACCGGTTGAACATATTTGATGTTTGGTCTGATTTCGAGCTAATAAGGTCTTATAATACGCAAATACGACAAAAACTTTTCTCCAGGAATATCAGTTTTTGAAGCTTTTTAGCGCCTTCTTGGAAACAAAAAATATTTTGACATCTGATTTTTTTTAAGTTCACTTAATTTCCTTTGTTAAAGGAAGGCAAACTCCACTATCGAACATCAAAAGTCTTAAGGTCTCAAAAAACGTGATTGACTTCTTTTTCGAAATTGGTTTGTGATTTTTAGATTTTCCTGCGAATTAATATACCTTTTGATCCAGGTTTCTTAGGTTGGGCTAATTTTTATCAATAAAGCACCATTTATAAATTGTTCTTTAAGTTTAAAGAGCTTTAAGAGCATATATTTTTTCTTGAAAAGTTGAAATTTGAATTTTTCAAAAAGTAAATTAGTTTTTGTTCTGTTTCCTGGCTTTCAATACTTTTTTTCAGCTGTCAATTGACTATGTTTAAGAGTTGATGAACATAGTTCAGACTCTTCTATAGGTCGTGATGGTTTTTCCTTTCGTTTTTTATTTTCTTAAATTTTATTCAGGCTCAAATTTATTTTTCCGCGATTTGACTTCTGAATTGTTTTTAAGTTCAGTTCATTTCTTTTCCTTTGTTAAAAGGAAGGCAAACTACATTATCGAACAGCAAAAGTGTAAACGTCACAAAAAACGTAATCGACCTCTAGTTTCTATAATGGAATTTAATTTTCAGATTTCCCAGCGAAATAAAAAAATCTATCTATTGATTCAGTTTTCTCAAATTGGTTTCCTTTTATCAAAAAAGATCAATCATAAATTGTTCTAGAATTTAAAGAGCTTTCAGGGAATCTAATTTTTTTCTTCGAAAAATGAGATTTAAAAAAAAAAAACTATTTTTTTTCTGTATACTTGCGTCCATTGACTTTTTTCCAACTGTCTGTTGTCTATGTATTTTCTGTTAAATTTGAAAATTGGGAACAAGTCAATATTTTTTAGTTTTTTTTTGCGCTTATGACTCTTTTCAACTGTCGGCTGGCTATGGTCAACAAATATCAGCTCAATTCTCTGCTTTGTTTAGGTACTACGAGAAGCGTGGTGTGATGCTGTATGAGAGAGATGTGAAGCCACAGAGTCAGAATATGCTGATGGTGGAGGTAGTTGAACTGGTGGGAAGGAAGAACGTGTACCATCAACAGTCGGGCACAGTTACACTCGAACCCAGGTAACATCTAGTACAGGGCGAGAAATAATTTCATGCTTCTGAAATGCATGTGTATAGGTTATTGTACTCTTTGTGGCAAATCTACTCTTCAATGAGGGCACATCGGTAGCAAATCGAAAAAAATCTTGGCACCTTGGGTTTTGTGAAGGATAAGCTTTCGGCGTTCAGCTTCCCAAGTAAACTCAATTGAGCGATTCCCTATATCAAAGATAGAAATTCTTCCAAAACTATTATTGACTGACTCTGGATAATTTGTTTTGTATAACCAAGCTTTCTGATGTGACCTAGTTCTTACTACAGGGTTTTTGTTCAATGATCTAAAAAAAATTAGAGGTTCTAGACTTCGATTGGTCTTTTTTATTGCTTTTTTTTCTCGTTTTCTACAACAAAGGGACATCATTGCCAATTGTATATTCAAAAGATACCTAGACGTAAAAGACCTAGACACCGAATTTTATCTAAAAGCTGGGTTTATTTGGCTGTCTTCAGGTACGCGAGCAATACAGAGGTGTACCCTATTGAACTCTGCGTGCATGGTATCATGACCCAGTCCAAAAAGGTGGAAAAGGTCAACAACCTGGATGAAATGTTTCCACAGGGCTCGACTCTGTTCCTAATTGGGTCCAGTTACTACGGGGAGGAAGCAACAGTGGTGGAATGTACTCCCCAGGGCTCAGTGAAGTTCGAGTTTTACCAGAAGGTGGAACCCAATTTCGAGAACATCATCAACAAGAAAGACGTAAGAGACACTTGAAAGACATAAATTTTGACGTTTAAAATCTAAGAGAGCAAAAAGCACATGTTCTCATGTATCAGTAGTTGATGCTGATTCACTTTCCTGACCTGTAAAATTATCTGTCAATTACAGACGCAATCTTACGCCGAACAACGGCTTCCAGGATTAAAAAGCCCGAGAAAACGCTTTCTGAATATTTCACTTGCGGAGAGTAGCTTAAAGGAAAAATATGGATTAGAAAACCCTTTGTATTTTACATCGTCAAATCATTTGGATCATGCTATACCTTCAAAAATTTTCTAGATTGGCGCCCGAGGGCGTTAAGAAAAAAATTGAACCAATGAAGTTGGTCCAACTAAATTGAATTGTTTGTTTGTGTCTCACTGTTGTCTACGTTTAGACTTGGGCCACCATGTATTTCTCGCAGCGGGAAGTGGCGGACAGACTGAGAATAAGCCCTCTGCTGGTGGGCAGAATTACTGGATCCATATTCGTACTGCCACCTCCTGAGGAGAAGGAAAAAGATGACAAGAAGTATGTGTAATTCAATGTCTTTATTTAACTGTGTTAACACTTGCAAGCTTGTATGAACCTACTTTTTTTCCAACCAACTCGCAAATAATTGTGCTCACTTTAGTGGCACTTTTGCTATTATCACGATCTGTAGCCTTGAAGTTTCATAGCATCTGTTCTCTGCTTTGTTTGTGGCTTGTGTTGTCGATGGTTAAGCGTCCGTGGCCGAGTGTGAAGACGTTAGACTCTTAATCTGGTTCGAATCCGTCGCGTAGCAAAATTTGATTTTAATTTTTAAAGAGTCGATGAACGTAGTTTAGGTTTTATGATTTTTTACTGATTTTTTTTATTAAAAGCTAATGAACGAAGTGAGTTGTCACTTATTTAGGTCGTGGGTTTTTTCTTTACTTCTCTATAAAATCATTAGCTATAGAGAAGACAAATAACCTTCGGCAAAATTATAAGTGCAACAAACGTGGGCCTTGTCCACAAAACTGGATCTTTGTATGACTTTCGTTTGTCGGCTTAGATCCCACATTTTTGCTTGTACTTTAAGCAATGATCATGGTGGTTGCAAGAGTTCTTTATTATAGTTTTTTTTTTATAAAATCACTTCTTTGGTCTCAACTGGTTTGTGCTCAAATCAAAGAGTGTCGGCTTTGTTTCTACTTCGTAATTTCTGTTCCGTTGCTAATTTGAAATTCTTGCTCGCCTTTTTTTTAGAATTTCTTTGTGATAAAAACAGGTATTATAAAATTGTATGGAATTGGGTTTTTTATTTCATTTTAATTTTTTTGAGACGCCTTGCAATTTTTTCTTCCTGCAAAAAAATTATTTTGCTTACTCCCCTTTGTGCCTGTGTAATCTGCTAGTCTCTTTTTTGCGTTATCAATTGTCTACAGTCTTCGAAAAAGTCTGTGGCGGATTATTTGACCCCTGTTGGATGTTTTTTCTTTTCTCAAAAACTATCCTCCCAAATCTTAGATTTTGGGTTCAATGGGTTAAACTGGTTATGGGAAGCCTCCCTGCGTGATCAGCTTCACTCAATTTTTTTACGCAAAGAGTAATGGCACTCGCACAAATCAGAATTTTGATTGTTTGATCGTTTTTTGAAATTTTTACTCGAGAACTACCCTTCCAAATCTGAGATTTTGGTTTCAATTGAAATAGCGCATTAAAAAGCTTTGATTCTTGGGAAAGACAAATTTTTGATTTAATGACCGTTTTTTGGAATTTTTTTTCTCGACAACTATCTTGCCAATTTTGATATCAATCAATGGTTTAATAGAAAGAACTTGTTGAAAACCTACCTGCTTCAGCGGTCATTTCGAAAAATGTTCTGGCCTTCAAAATGACCAAATTTTGAAACTGACAGTTATGTCAGTTACTGTTTGCGCTCGCGATAAGCAAGAGTTATCAAACTGGAATTTAGACGTTTTTCTACTTAAAAACTGGTTTAACAAAATCAATTGAATCACTGGCTGACTATGCTGCTGACTGACATGCTTAATTTCAAATTTAACACAACGGATTTGGCTTGTGCTGTAGACAATTTTCATTTTAGTTGCAAGTGCAATTGTTATTCATTCTGATTTCAGGGGGACTTGAAAGATTAAAAAAAGTTTTCATAAAATCTTTTTGCTTTCGGTTCAATTGGTTTCAGCTCAAAGCTTGTTGGCTTAGTTGCCACATCACTGATTTTTTTTTGCGCTGCAAGCAACTTTCATTGTAGTTGCAAGTGCAGGAGCTGTTCATTCTAGCTTCAAGGGGGACTTGAAAGATTTAAAAAAAAAATTCATAAAATCTTTTTATTTTCGGTTCAATTGGTTTCAGCTCAAAGGTTGTCGGCTTAGTTGCCACATCACTGAAATTTCTTGTGATATAAACAATTTTCATTGTAGTTGCAATTGCAAGAGTTTTCCATTGTTGTTTAAGGTGAGACTTAACTTTTTTTTATAAAATAATTGTTTTTTTTTTTCGGCTCAACTTGTGTCTGCTCAAAGAGTGTTGGCTGTTTCTTTTCGTAAATTTTGTTCCATTGTTGCTGATTTGAAATTCAAGTGTCTGGCATGTTTGCCTGGAATGAACTTCTATCTAGACATATGAAACTTATGACTTCATTTTTTCAAAAATTTTCATTTTCATTTTTTTGTATGTGTTGTATCGCTAGTGGTTCGAAGGTCCGCTTCGCCTCTGTGTAGAAAAATGCTCGTGTTTGTAGTTCAGATGGGAAGCAAGGCGGCGGTGGCTTGGATCAGGGCTGGTGTGTTAATATTGGGCTGAATCTGAAGTTCACCCGCAGCAACGAAGAAGTCATGGGGTACACGAAGAGAGTGAACAACGAAGACAACCTGCACCATGGTGGAGGAGGTTGGTAACACGAAGAGGTTGTACATTACTTTGGAAGCAATTGTGAGATAGGAGTCGCTTTGATTTTTTAAGACGGATTAAAATCTGCGATACATTTCTCGAACACTTTCCGGAAATGCCAATTTTTGTTGCACAAATGCCTAGCGATTCCTTGTCGCTTAGGGCTTCTATTTCTTTTGAGAACTAATTGTTGCTACTCTGACTTGAGACCGTTCGACTGTAGGTGAGTGATGCTTTTATCAAATGTCGATTTGATAAATATTTTCGGAGCAAACCATTAGTTAAAATTGAATAGATGCTGGTTTTTGTTCCGACCGTTGAAAATGGGGAGGAACTTTGTATTCGAGGTTTCTTTCTGTTTTCCACGCACAATCAGCCGCCACAAATAATCATCGGACAGGGTTGAGTGATTAATCATATTAAAGCCCTTTTAGTCGTGATTCGAACGACATTTAAAAACTTATTGAAAATTTTCTCAGTGTTTCCGTTAAAGTTTCAAAAGTTCGTTTTTTTTTTCGTTTTTCTAGTCACTGTTCTTTACATAAGCGAAGCGAAGTGTATTATTACGAACTCTCTTTTTTTCCAACTTAAGTCGCAATTAAAAGTGCTCTTTTGTGACACTTTTGGTAAAGTTCAATTTCATCATATTTAAGCGTATTTAAGCAGGGTGATTTAATAGCATATAGTGGTGGTTTATTTTTGGCTAGTGTTAGGTCCTGTTTGAAAACAACAGGATTTATGAAAATGTATGGGATTTGTTAATTTTTGTTTTTTTTGCGACCCTTCGGAAATTTTTTAAACTTTTCGCAAAAATTTCATTTTTTGCTCAAACTACTGAACCAATTTTCAAACCAATGGTGGCATTGGAAAAACTGGCTGCTATTCTATGTGTCTGCATATTTTGTTAGTCTCTTTTCAGTTTACACCACGTTCTACGGCTTTCGAAAGTTTCAGTAGGAGGTTTTTGACTTATTTGATTTTGAATTTGTTCATTTTCTCTAATAATAAATGCATAAATCTGAGATGAACGTTTTAACTAAAGAACTAATCATTGGGATCTCTCCATCTCAAGCTGCTATTTCCTAAATTTGGAAGAAAAAAGTTAGGGCCTCAAACAAGCCCTTTTTTGACATTTTGGTTATTTTTTAAATTTTTTTGACTGTTCTCAAAAACTACCCTGCCAAATCGGAGAATAAGATTTCAATCGGAAGAAAAAACGTGGTATTGTAATAGTTATTTTTTTGGTCGAGTTTTTCCCGCATCGCAGTGGCAATTTGATAGAAAGTGCAGCTGATTTATTGGTGGCTAGTGTTAATAAAATTACAAGCGACAATGAAGCAGATGTGCGAACGTGTTACTCCCAAGCCTTGCAAAAAAGTGTCTCAAGGTGTCTTTTCAACCTTTTTCTTATTTCACTTTGTTTTGCCTGTTCAGAGATCTTTTTTGCATTTTCCTCGCTTGTGTTTGCGGAGCGCAGCTTCGCCTGTGTCAAAAACTGTTTTCCAATTGACTTTTTTTTGACTGGTCAAACATGCAGAAAAAGAGGACACCAATTTGAAAAAACATTTTTGTATTTTCTAAGACTGGTCGGAACATTCTGTGCTACTTGCATAGTTACCGGCTATCCTTTTTATGTTTTGCTATCCCTACTTTATAGGTTGGCTCTACTCTGAGAAGTGCATGGCTGTTATACAAGAGTACATGGACACTTTCCCGGACATGTTTGCCCTCTTGATGAAGAACCCTTCGGCCGACAAGTTCAAGGCACAGAACATTTTTCCTCAAGGTGAAAATTGTTCATTTGAAGCACTCATTTTATTAGAGGCACATTTAAAGTTTTCGAAAGGGGAGGGTTATTAAAAAATTTTTTCAAGTCAACTGAATTGATTGTCTGAGACACTCAAATGCTTTGAAGGTACCTATTTAATTTCAATGTGTGTTATTAGGAGCGCACGTCAAATTCAATCATTATTCGCGTCGAAGGTTGTTCATACAGAATTGGATGTCATAAATAATAGCGAAGGTTATCGAGTTTCTGAGGAGAAACGAGTATATGCCCATCCCCCGCCGCATGCCACCCACTGCTTGAATCCCCTTATGCATTTGATTATTATTGTTTGGTAAAATCTATTGGGGATTTTATTCAAGGACATTTATGTGGAGTCAGAAGTGTAGAAAAGTGTTGTTAAGTTCGAAGCTGGCCGTGGCTGCGCATGATAACGTAAAAAACGGTAAAAATCTCAAATGAGACTTGAAAAGTTTTAACGTGCAGTTGTCTTGTTTATAACTGTATGGACATAAGCTTAATCGATGACGTGACGTGTTCCTTTTCTGCGTCAAATGAAGTTGTTTTTTAACTGATTAGATTGGCTGTGTTCTAGGATGTGATGCGCAGCAGGAGTTGGACAAGTTGACTAAGTTCTTGAAGGGAGTGTCTTGTGCTAAGGCGAAGAAGATCTCATGCAGTAGTCAGATACTGGAAGAACAGGTGCTCACTCAGATCCAGACGGAGATCGAGAGATGCAACATTGCTAATGTGAGGAGTATATTTGTTCTCAATTGAATTAGGTTATGCCTCATCATGTTTTTTTTGTGTAGTTGTAGTGATTTGAATCCAAGTATGTTTCAGTACAAATCGAAAAGGAAAATGTTGGCCAAAGGAAGCCCCGTTAACCTATTCCGGGTAAGTGATATTATTATTTTGTGTTGGCTATTGAATTTAAATTGCTAGCTTCTTAATAAATATATAATTTTGTTTTTAATACATAGTGTATTAATTGCAACTTGCGCTAATATTTAAATTCATTATTCAGAAAAAAAAAATCTGAAAGTTTCAGCTTCATTTTGTGTAGAAAATAGTTCAGTTCCATTCTATTCAATTCCATAAAATTTTGTGAAAATGATTTGTCTAAAGAATTCAAATTGTTAATTTTTAGCCCTCTGATTTGAACGGAAGTCTGATGCCGGACGAGTCCACTCAGTTCCGGATGTTTGACCGGGTAGTGAATGTGCGCGATGGGTTTTGTGTGCCGGTGGGCCTGCGAGGCACGGTAATTGGACTCCCGTCTCGCAAACAGGCCATCTCGAGAGATGCCATTTTGGATGTCTTGTTCGACGAGTCATTCTTAGGGGCCCATCAGGTGAGTCTGAGCATTATTGCTCTGATGAAATTAATTTTTCGAAGAAGCTTTGAATAATATAGAATAGTTCATGGTCTCTTTTCCTCGTTTTGATGATTACAATCCATAAATGAAACCAGATAATTAAACGCAGTTTTTGGTTGATTCTTCGAAAATATCATAAATCTAAAAGTTCTCGCCAAAAAGCTGAAATAAGGCCAAAATTAATTATTCTGTTTGCTTTTGTGCCATAAAGTGTAAAACCGCCCAATTGAATGAGTAAAACCGCCAATTTGGTGTAATATCGACTTCTAACTGGATTTTCTCCGCCAATGCCAAGCTTTTTATACTAATTTATAATTTTTCTGTTACTTCATGTATTCAACAGGTTCCACTGTGCTTCAGGTGATGCCTGGTACATGGTTTTCAGCCTACAGACTCCCTGCCACCTCCCTCATCAACATCACCCATGGCCACAGACAGCAGCGGACCACACGAAAGAGCACTGGAGAAGCCAAGGCATCAGAACATCAGAGAACGGATGCACGGATAATGCCCAAGGCGACAGCTACCTCAGAACACCATCAGTATCACACTAGGTCTGCAAATCTGTTACAATATTCTACGTTTCCATAAAAATCGTTTTTACTACACCGTCTTTGTCTTCTGAATAATCTTAATTAAGTCTCAATGAACGAATTGTTCTAAGTGTAAAATGCATTCATACATATAATGGAATCTTGAATGAGTTTATTATGAATCGATGAATGTAGTGATACTTCAATCCAGCTCGTGATGATTTTTTTAAGATAAAATTTTTTCACCCTGTTTTTTTTGCGGTTCGACTTTCTAGCAAAAGCAAAGCTTGTATTATAGTATGAACTATCTTTTTTTTACAACCTAAGTCGCAAATATGGTTGCGACGCAAATACTGTTCGGACAAAATATGTTCATTTTGATCAATAACCAGCCAGCTATTAAGTACAGCCAATGCTAAAGATATTAACACAGACTATTATATTCCAAATAGCACTGTAGCTTCAAGGTATCATGGATCTGTTTTTAGAACTTATGGCCGTTTTTCTTAAAATTTACACTATCAAATCTAAGATTAAAATATCCATTGAAAAAACAGGTTGCGATAATTGGTCATGCAGAAACGGCGACTCCTTATTTTTTTGTAAGGTGTATATTATCTCCTTGGGAAAATTAATTATTTGAAATTTCTTTCTCTTGCTTATTTTTGTAAAGAAACAACTAAGGTTGAAGGCAAAGTCCAATGTTTGAAATCACACTTTTCGTGCCGCATCAGTTTAGCAAATTCATTCAATATCAACCTTGTACCTCCAGCTTTAGCTGGGCCCCTAGATTTTTTATCGAAACTTAACACCCGCAAGAGGGAATGGCCCCCAAAAAACTGTTGTTTTTTAAGTAAATTTTTCTCATAGTAATGTGTACGTAGGGAGTACTATAATATTGGTCTTCGTGATTTTTTCCAGGAAAAAGTCTTAAAATTTGTTTTCGCTCATTTTTTTGCAGTTTTACCTTTGTTTTCTTTCAAAGTTCACTGCATTTCCATTGTTTACACAAGCCAAGCGTAGTGTACTAGAATGAAGAATTTTTCCTAACCTAAGTAGCAAATAAAAGTTCTCATTTTGTTACATTTGGTATATTTCAATTTAATCATACTTAGGCTTTTTAAGCATTGGCAGTTTGATAGCATATGTTGTTGTTTTTATTTGTGGCTTGTGTTGGGTCCTGTTTTTAAAAACAGGTATTATGAAAATATTTGGGATTTGTTGTTTTTTAATGTTTTTTGCGACGCTTTGAAAGTTATTTTGCACTGTACTGTACATTACTGTACTGTACTGTACTGTTCATAAAATACACTGTACTTTTTTATGGTGCCAATAAATAAATCGGCTGCTCTTCTATGTGCATGCATTTTTTGGTAGTCGCTTTTCAGTTTACCCCACGTTCTACGGCCTTCGACTGTCAGTAGGGGTGATTTTGACTTGTTTAGAATTTTTTTCATTTTCTCAAATATCAATGCACAAATCTGAGATGAAGGTTCAATCAAAAGATTAAGATATGGGGCTCTTCCCTTTTAAAGCGGCGATTGCTTAAATTTAGTAGAAAAAAGTTATGGCCCCAAGCAAATCTATTTTTTTTTCATTATGGTTTATGATTTAAGCTTGCGATTAGGAAGCGTTATCAAATCGGAATTAAAACTTTTTCTCTAGTTAACAACTAATTTAACAAAATCAGTTGAATCACTTGCTGATATCAATGCTCAATTTCATGAAAATTCATATTTAACTACTGGGTGGCGACTAGATACTACAAAGTTTTCTGGGGGACTTGAAAAAACCAGTAACTCATTGAATCAAGGCTTAAGATGTGTTCAATAGAGAAGTTATATAACCGCGCACATAATGCAATTAACAAAATTGAGACAGAAAACAGCATCCAGAAAGGAAAATTAAAGTGTTTTTTTTTAAATCGTTTTTTTTTCCCGGCTTATTTGAAATATGTCAAAAATTGTTAGCCGTGTTTTTGCTTCGTAAGTTTGTTCAGTTGCCTTGCGTGGCATGTTTGCCTAGATTTCCTGTTTGAAAAAAAAAAACAGGTAAATATATATATATATATATATATATATATATATATATATATATATATTATGGCCCCAAGCTTTTCGCTTTTCTCAAAAACTTTTGAACTTTGATCGCTTTTTAGAAACTTTTTGAATTTTGATTCGCTTTTCTCAAAAACTTTTGAACTTTGATCGCTTTTTAGAAACTTTTTGAATTTTCTTAACAACTACACTATCAAATCTGAGATTAAAAATTCAATCGAAATAAGCTTTAGTTGAGACTTAGGTGGCCTTCCTCGAGTTATTACGCTTGCGATAAGCAAGTGTTATCAAACTTGATTATAGACTTTTTTCGGGTTAATAACTAGTTTAACTGAATCGCTTGAATCATTTGGTGTCTTGCTTCATAATGAATTCAAATTTCTGAGCGTCTCCGGCACACTTAGTCTGGAGGTAATGAATACGCCTGGGATTCCAAATGTCTTGGGTTCGAATTTGGAGAAAGTCCGTTTCAAAAAAATTGTCGGCTGATGTTTTTTCGGTTTAGTTGCCATATTGTATGGTTTTTTTAAAGTTTGTTTTCACATTATACTTGCTTTTACAGGGTGGCCATGGTATCAGTGCTGTCAGTGCCAAATCAGTGAGAGGTGTGATCTGTTCATCGCGCTTCTCTACTGAATCAAAATTAAAAATCGATACAGGCCTACACATTATAAGATTTTTTCGGGTAGTATGAGCAGATCTGAGAAGAAGAAATAAGTTGGCTCGAAAAAGTTAGGTGAAAAAAAAATGGGCCAACGAGTTCGGCCAATGACAGGAAAAAAAGTTGGGTAACAAAGCTAAAAAAGTGCCTGGAATTTATTTTTATCAGTGCGAGTATCAGTGCTGTCAATGCCTGCGATTTCTCAGACACTGTGGCCACCCTGTTTTAGTGTTCTGATATCACTCTGTGCTGTTTGTATTTTTGCTAAACTTGACCTCGTTTATATATATTTGATTTCGGCCTATTTTTTATCGGCTTAATGGCCTAGTTTTGAGTCGTTTCAACGGAAACACAATTTTAATGCTCCTGTCTAGATTGCACAAAATGCTAAGTTTCCTATAGAATTATAGTTCAAGTTCTTCATGCTAACAATTGTTTTCCGACTTTGTTTTTTTTTCGGCTTCATAGGTTTCGGCCTATATTATATCGGCGTTTTGACCTCATATTGCGTCTTTCGACGAGACAAAATCCTTTTATGTGTTAGTGTCTGTGTTTTGAGGTTGAGAGGGACTTTTTATTAGTCATAATTTTTATAAATTTTTTATTCGGCTGTTTTTTTTTCATTTTTTGGGCTTAATAGGTTTCGGCCTATATTATATCGGTTTGTGGGCTCATAATGTTTCATTTGACGAGCAATTAAATTGTTTTGAGGGTGAGGTGGACTTCTTAATTTTTCAGAAGTTTGAACTTTTGTTGATTTTTTTTCGACTTCCGACAAGGTTTCTGACGAGGTATTTTCGGCTTTATTATCGCTGTGTACATTATCTCGCGATGCTGATTTCACATTCTATTGTTTTGGCATGTTTTTGTTTTAAAATTAGCTTCATTCATTTAATAGATCTAGTTTTCTTTTCCTTTTGTATCGCAAGTGGTGCGGAGCTCAGCTTTGCCTCTGTGTACGAAAATTTTGGTTCTAGTTTTTCTCAACATTTTTCAATTTTTTTCGAGTTGTGTTGTATCGCAAGAGGTGCGAAGCTCCGCTTCGCCTCTGCGTAAAATTTAAGATGTTTTCTCAAAAAAACTACGCTGCTAAATCGGAGATCAATGGATTAACCTAAATCAGTTATGCGAATTTTTCTTGCGCAAGCGGCTATGCCCTGCGTTGATAGCCTGCAGTGATAGCGGCCTCTCTTTTCGTTTCAGAGTTCCGACGAGAGATACTCTATTTCCCGCTGTAGTTTTTTTTCTTATTCATGCGTTTTTATATAATGGCTCACGTTAAAATCGTAGCAAATGAGAGCTCAATTGACCGATTTTATTTTGGAGCTCTCATTTTTCCCTGCTGGTCTCAAGACAACAATGAATGCAAATTTTTTTAACCTAAAAGATCTGTGTATATGACCAAAACGAGCTGGAATCTACCCTTTTCTACAAATGATTCCTTCGCCCTTGGCTGAGGGGCGGTTGTCGTCACTCATGAAAATGTTTTCGAAAAATAGGATTTATGCTATAGTATTTTCTTTTCTTACAAATAATTTTTTCACATAGCATGTTTTCCTGTATCGCAAAAAGTGAGAAGCATGGTTTCGCATTTGTATAAAATTGACGACAATTTATCATTAATACAATTGCTTGAAAAGCCGCCTTCGAATTCAACGCTTCTTCTAACCTTCATTGTTCGGAGCATATTTTCCCCCGATGAGTCACAATCAACGTCGGTTTTCTGTCTTTAATTAGAATTAGATTTGCATTGTTATAGTGCTGGCAGTAGACATAATGGCTTGCATCAACAGCAGAGTGGGGGCAGTAGTAGTATAAGACAGTTGCTGGACAAGGCCTCTGCGGCAGCTGTGAACGAAAAAATGTACCAGAAATCGAAGAATGCTAGCTCATCTGCAAACAAATTCACTCCACCCACGAATAATTTGGTGAGATCGTAATCTGTTTGAAACAACTGGAAATGTGTATCTTTGAGGAAATATAATTTGCATGGATAGCAACCATACTAAGTTTAATATTCAATTTCTACACCAAGTTTAAGCTATGGGAACCGTATATATAATTTTTATGCTAAGTTATGACAATCCTCAGTTTTTCTAGAGTGTTAACAAATATTGAAATATTATTAATATATATGTCATTTGGTATTTAGACTTGCGATCAGCTTAGTGTATTTTTACGAACCTTTTTTTCCAACCTACCTTGCAAATAAGTGTTCATTAAGTGTTCACTTATTTAGAAATTTTACTAACATTGGAAATTGCATAGCATCTGTTCTCTTCTTTACTTGTGTTTGGTGCCTATTAAGCGTCCGTGGCTGAGTGGTTAGTGTGTGAGACTTAATCTCTAGGTCTCAGGTTCGAATCTCAGACGAAGTTTTTTTTTTTTTTACTAATTCCAGGCTTATTTCTAATTTTTCTTATTGTACTTTATAGAGTTGCTTTTTGTCGTATTCTCGCAAGGGTTTGCGAAGCTTCGCCTCTGTGCAAATAAAGGCGAAAGGGCAATTTGTCTTAAATATCAAATTGTTTCAGCCTTTTGATCCCTATCATGCACCTAATTCTACATATCACGCGGGACAATCCCATAGCGGCTCGGAACCCTCGCCCGCATTCGTGAATTTAACACAGCAGTTCATGGAGAACATGCCCCAATCCCAATGGAGTCAACAGATCTATGCACAACATCAGTCTATACCTATGAACAAAGAGACCTCGTATGATAGCAGTTCAGACTCAGATGTGCCCACGTTCGATTTCAGACACAAATCCTTCTCTCGGAGGGAATGCGGTCCAGGTAGCATCCCAACAGGAAGTAACATGAGTGAAAGTCAGTGGAAGCAGATGCACAGTAAGCAGGTACGCTTATGTTTGTAGTAATCATAAGGCTTAACAGTAGGTCATGAAAACAATTTTAACTTTTTGTATGGGTTGCAATAAACTGATTCCCGGTTGAATGAGTAACAATATACAACATAATTTCGAGCTTTGAATAAACGAATATATGGTTCTATTAATCTACAGCTGTTAAAGCTGTAAATATCTATTTCTTGACACTTAACCCCTTTATAACCCCTCACCCTCCATTGTCAAAAATGTACTGTTTCTTCAGTCATCGGCAGCACCGGCTGCAGTACATGAGTACTACTCTTCGGTAGTAGGAGATCTGACAGATCTGGACAATGCTAGCAGACAGTGTGCCCCCTTCGCAGATCTGTACGAACAGCACAAGATGCAGCAGTTCAGCGGACAGCCGAACACTGCTCAAGTCCAAATACACTCTCTACACACGGTCAGCAAAAAAGTACAATGGGGATGTTTTAGAGTCGATGAACGTAGTTCAGACTCTTATATAGGTCGCGATGATTTTTTCACGTTTTTTTTCAGGAAAAGTCTAAAATTATTGTTCAGGCTCAAATTTACTTTTCGCGGTTTGATTTTTTTAAGTTCAGTTCATTTTCTTTATTAAAAGGAAGGCAAACTCAACTATCGACCAGCGAAAGTGTAAAGTTCACGAAAAACGCGATCGACTTGGCGATCGCTTTCGAACTAAGAGTCGTAGTTCAGAGTTTTGTTATATTTAGAGGCGTGTTTCAAGCTCTTACATAAGTCGTGATGATTTTTTTTCCAGGAAGTCTTGAAATACTCTAATAACAAAAGATGTGCATGAAGAAATGAATAAAATTTTTTCTTAACAATTCAGTCTTCTCGAATTGATTTTATTTTATCAAAAAAAGGCCAAGCATAATTTGAAAGTCACTTTTCTGTCAATTCATTTCTGTTTCTTTGCGTTCGTTGACTCATCCAACTGTCTTTTGGCTATGTTCAAGTTAAACATACCCCTGAACTATTTGCTTGTGAAATGGAAGATTTTTCATTTACTTCGTGTCCATACTTTTGATGTATACCGCTCAATGCTACCAGCAGACTCTTCAAATAGAAAATCCTATAGCAGGATGTCAATAAATTTCGAAACTATTGACTTGATACCTATTTTTTGCAATACACTTCAATGTATCTATCAACTTTTGCTTTCCTATGACAGATTAGTAACCAAAGATTTCGTTGAACAACACTAGGTTAAAAAAAAACAAGTGGCTTAAATGTTTCTCTATCCAGGGTTGCTATCTTGAACAACTCCGGTATAAAACGTGACTTGAGGGTTGCAATGACCAAGTACCGATGAAAGTGTAGGAAGCTCTTAATTTTGGTTGCTTGAAAATAATGACTCATGGGAACATTAAATCTGGCTCGGTTTTCTGAGCATTTTTTTCTGCTTTCGGGGGTCGGGCTCACCTAGACAGTTTTAACCACTTCACTATTCGACCGACATTTTCAAGAAGACTGACTTATAAAGCTCTGTTAGATAAGTTGTTTGAATAAAAAATGTTCAGATTTAAGAGCACTTGTTAATCGCTTGTTCTAGTGGATTTGTTTGGCCCAGATTATCATAGATAACTTGAATTCTGTTTAGGGTTTTGCCTGTACACTGAATTTATTGGGCAAGTCGTACGATGGTCCGATTTGTGCTACTGAAGTTGAAGCACTTACCGAGGCCTCAACAGGCATGATCAAGTTTCTCAACTCCCTTGTACTCTCTCAGAACAGAGAAGCCTTCCAAGCATATCCTGGTCTCTATAAACCCCAGCAGTTCTACACTCCCAGACACAACGGAGTTCCTAAACTTCTCAATCAGAACGGGTCCACTTACGTTCAGCAGCAGGTCAGTACTCAGCTACTTTATTGTTGCCCCCCGCCCGCAAGTCGGCTTCTTTATAAACCCCAACGAAGGGGGCGGGCCCGAATTAAAAAATTATACCCAAATAACAGCTTTTTCAACGCAAAAAAAATCATGCAAAATTCATTTTTTGTCTCGATTTTGTCATTTATCATATTAATCTAAAGTTGCGGAAGCCCCGTGATAATTTTGAACCTCCCGCAATGGAAAAGGCCATTTTTATTCGAAAAACGCTTTCAATCCACTCTCTAATATCAAACCTGTTACTTAAATCATTTTCGCCAAAAATTTTTTTTTGAAGATTGATAATTTATCTATCTATTATTATATATTTAAATACGGGCTTCACTCTCTCAACATGTTTAAGCTTTTTCAACGTGTTATTTTTGCATGTTTAACAAAAGAATTTTTGCACGTTTAAGCTGTATGGAATTTTACAGCTTGAATTCAATTTTTTTGTCAAGTTTGAAATAAGCAACCCAAAAGTGGGATGCTGTCAGGGTTACCCTAGGGGCTACAAATTGGGCTTCCAAATATGAATACCCGAATCTTTTTAGTTTACGAGATACAAAGATTCTGTGATTTTTTTCTCGAAATTTAATTAAAACTTAAATTTGAAAACTTTTACAAAATTTGGAATTGTCAACCTGCAATTGGGTGCTGTCAGGGTTTTCTCATGGGTTGCAAATCCTGCCTCACAAATTGACTGCTCAAATTCTTTTAGTTTGTGAGATATGACGTCTTCTATGAATTTTTCAAACATTTTCAAAGAGCTTACAAATAAAAAATTGAATTTCTCAACTCTATGGTGTGAGTTGCTCTCAGGGTATTTTCAAGCGTTGCAGATTAGGAATCCAGATATGATTGCTCAAATCTTTTTACTTTCCGAGATTTGACGTTTTTTATGATTTTTCCAAAAAAATTTGATTGTTTCAAAAAAAAACTTTTCAAAGAAATTATAATAAAATTTGACAAAAGTTGAAAATCTCAACCCAGTAATTGGGTGCTGTCAGGGTACTCTCAGGGTTTCCAAAACTTGCCTCACAATATCCCAGCTCAGATCCTTTTACTTACCGAGATATGATGTTTTTAAAGATTTTTAAATTTTTTTTTTCACAACCTAGATATAAAAAACGTAACAAAAGTTGATATTATCGACAGTATAGTGTCAGATTCTGTCAGGGTACTCTCAGACATTGCAAATTTTTCCTCCAATTGTGACTGCTTAAATCGTTTTAGTTTCCAAGACGACGTTTTTCAATAATTCTTTAAAAGTTTTCAAAAAACTTAAAACTAAGTTTAACAAGCGTCTCATTCATGAATTCAGTGATTGTGCCAATCAAACTGTTAAATACGAGGAGTTTACTTGTTGGCTGTCAGCCATTCTGAAACCCAGTAGCTTCAGAGATTTGACCATTTAAGTTTAAAAACGTTTTAGTTGGAATTTTTTTGGTCAATTTTCTAAATGAAAAGCCTCGTTGGGTGCGCCCGTCTTTTTCTATGGTTGCATTCCTTTCGTTGTTTTTTTTTTTAATTTATTTTATATATCAACAGTTTTCACGTTAAATATTCTATTTGAAGCACCGGAGGTGCCGTACATGCTAGTTAAGATTTATTTCTTTTCATTTGCGCTCAAATATTTGCTTTGTTGGTTTTCATGAAAATCAGTTAAAATCTTGATAGGTGTTGGTGCCTGGACAGATCGACACGACAGGAAGCAATGTTTTTATGCCATCTGTTTTGGGCCCGAATATGTTCAACGTCAGCGTCAATCCCAATTCCAATATGTTGTATAACAACCAAGCTCATAATCAGAACCAAGACCAGCAAAACACTCCTAACTTCCAGGTAAAAACAATAAAAGTTAATTAAATCAATTTTATGTTGCATTAAGTTTGAGATTTGAAGCAAGATATGATTTATGCTAAATTTAAGAATTGACAGGTTGTTATTGTTTCAAAATATCATTTCGCTTCTGATGTAGTGGCGAATACTTGATTAGATTGTGCAATTTTGTTCAGAAAAAGATTCATTTTTTGTTGTGATGAAGTGATGTTTGAAATCTGCGTTTCAAATTCATTAATCAACTGAGCGCTAACAATAATCGGGCGTTTTTTCTGGCCTCCTTGAATTGTGTAACCCTTTTCAGATTAAGTGTTTGCTATAAAATTGAATCATCTGGTCATCGGTCCTGTTGATATTTTAGTCTAATGCGGGACCTCATGTGCGGGATCCAAACAAAAAACCTCATCGTCGTGGAAATAGAACCTCTGCAGGCCGCGGTAGATCGCTGGGACAAAACTGTGCCATGTCGTTTTACGGTTGAACAACAGCTAGTTAGCTACAGAACAACCGTCATTGTACCATGGAACCCAGAAGGCTTGCAGTCGTTAGGTGCCACAGGGGCGAAAAATGCGAATTAATAACTTCATTTAACTAAGTTCACTTTTTGTGTGGTCTATTGTCTAATTGTTGAAGTCGAGAAAGGGTATTAAAACACTGATTACACTTGCGAAGCGAGTGTATTAGTACGAACGTTCTTTTTTTCCAACCTGAGTCCCATATATTGGTGCCACTTTTGCGGCAGCTTTTTCATTGCATGTGCTTTGACATTCAATTAGTAGTAAGTTAAGACAGTTGATGCATTTTTAATTCATCAAATGAACTGAAAAAAGTGAGTAATTTCAAACAACATAACAATGATACAAAGCTCGATTTCAAAAATTTTCCAATTCATGTATCTCGCAATTTTTTTGAATTGCATAATTTATACATAATTTGGCTCTATGCTTTCCAATTTTTTACATGCAAAATTGTGTCTATTTGTATTTGGAGCCACTTTTGCTGAATGGCATTGGCAATTTATTAGCATATGTAGCTGCTTTATTCGTGACTTGTGTTTATCTATTGGAATGCAGTAGGTCGCAGTTTCGAATCTTACACGTAGCCGAGTTTTTGCTAATTCGAGGCCTATTTCTACTTTTTCCTATTTCACTTGATAGAGCTGCTTTTTGGTCGGGTTCTCGCAAGTGTCTGAGAAGCACAGCTTCGCCTCTGTGCTTAATATGTATTCTGTATATGTCCCTGACAAAGTTTTGCCTCGAATAAAAGGCTTTGAAATTCATGACTTCCGTAACTCCTTTTATTGATAAATCGATGGCAGAGCGAAAGGAGTCATCGATTTGCATTAAATTTTACGTGCTTTTATTCCTTTTATTGCAGAATTTAAATATCGTTTTAGCCTAGAAGAGAGGCTGCTTTGTTGTTTAGTTTTCTCTTTTTGAATATGTGCTATCAATATTTGAATTTGGTTGCTAATGCAATGTTTCTGATATTGTTTTTTTTTTGTGAAAATGAATTGTTCACTGGCGAATAAAAGAATATTATTACGATTTGTTTTTTTTTCTCTATTTTCAAGTCAACTTTGGTTCAGCTAACAGTCAAATTTGTCCAGCTGCTCAAGTGGTACTTCTGTTTGGATCAATATCTCAAGATCCTACCAACCGTATAAGTTTTGAACCTTATAGGATGCTGTCCTCCTTTTTTGCCCCAACCCTATTTATTTTTCCCCGCATTAATTTATCTCGCTTCTTTTACCCCCCTTTTTTACCCTATGTCTATTTCAACAAAGACTACCCTGTTTTTCGTATTTAATGAAATTGGATTACGTGGTAACAAAGAAAGATGATACATTTATGAAACGGTTGCTGAATAAATAGTAAATCTAAGCTTAACGACGGCATAGCAAGTAAAGTGAGTTTGAGATTTATTTTTCAGGTTTTCTAATGAAATGGATGGTAACCCAGGACTAAATTACCAAGGCATAGACATGTCACGTACAGGTGTGAACAATCAGCGTCCATCCGCCTCCAACTACTTGCTTCCAGATGGGGAGGCAGAGATTGCGAGGTTAGAACGCCAGCACAGAGTTTTCCAGCCGGCCATGTTGGATTTAATTGAACGGGGAATCGAAGACGAGCCGGTGTCGGGATACCGAATCCTGGACGTTGGCTGTGGACCTGGGTTCGAGACGGTTTTGTTGGCCAATAAAATCACCGCGGTCGGAGGGGAAGTGATTGGCGCCGATAGAGACGAAATCTTTTTGCAATATGCCAGACAAATCAACTCACATAACTCGGTTAAGTATCGCAGGTGCGACATCTCGACATGCGACGACAACTGGTTCCCGGAGAACTATTTCAACCTGGTATATTTCCGACTGACTCTTTGTTGGCTGTCGGATGTGGAGCGGGTTTTGAGGAAGGTGCATCGCTGGTTGACGCGCGAGGGAAGAATCATGTGTATTGAGCCTATTTTCGAAGGCGGATTCACGTACCCTTATTCCTCTTTGGACAAGAAGTTCGGCGAGGCAGCCAAAAGGTTGTTGAGTAACGGAGACGCATTTATAGGAGCAAGATTGCCTGAGCTATTTGAGTCGCTCAGCATGAGGATCCTTTACGAAGAACCTTTCGTGTTGTTTGGAGGACCTGGTAGTGCGTATTCACATTACATCAGAGACTCGACGTACTATCTATGTGATCTGTTGCTTTCAGAGAATTTACTCTCGCTCGAAGATGTAGCCATGTATAAAAAACGTCTTGAAAACCTAGAACAGTCACCAATGACGAGAGAGTATTCTCAAATACTGGTTAAGTTTATTGCGTGTAAACAGAGTTCGATTCCTGCACCGAATCTGATAAATGTGGACTCTATGCAAGCTCACAGCGAGGAGAACAACGAGGATGAAGATGGAGGTGACAGGACAGTGCTTTCAGCTGATAATTTAAATCAGCAAACATAGCTGTCACTTTCAGGCATATTAAAAAGAAGCGTTTAGATTCGGGAACATATAGATATAAAGGTCAGAGGAAAACTGCATTGACTCAAGTTTCAACTCTTGACATGTTATAATAGCTCGATACATAGTTTTGTATATATATTTATTTACTTTTCAATTCCGACTTTCTTGCATTGCCCGATAGATTAATTAGTGTAACACATACGCCGGTGGAATTCAGTTTTGTTCAGTTGTGTTTTGCGAACGCTTGTACCAATAATCAATGTACGGTAAAGCTAGTTATTTAAGCGCAATTCAAATGTTCCCTTTTAGCTTTTTTCTGCAAACTGCGATCAACCAGAAGAATCCAGAAAGGGTATGAAATTTGAAATAAACTTCAACGTATGTACATTTTAATTCGAAAATTAAATTTTTCCATCTGATTTTTTTTTCGATATCTTTGTTTGTTCTTGTGAGAGCTAGTGTCTTGTAATCAGGAACAAAACTTTTTTCTCATACACAACTTTTACAAATTTGTAAGAAATTGAAGTTGCTTCATTGGCGAACCTTAGCAACGTGGCCTCGAAGTAACACGGTCGCCTTTTTTCTAAGATCTGAGGTTCGAGTCCCAGCTGGAACTTTTTTTCCAGTAAAAATGAAATTGAAAATTTTTTTTCCGGGAAGCATCGACTCTTGTCGGAATTTTGCTTGTCTGCTTGCGTTTTGTTGGCTTTGTTGCCATTTTTTTTGTACTGTAAGCAATTTTCATCTTGCGATAAGCAAGGATATTGCAATCGGGTACTAGACTTTTTTCCGTAAATAACTTCACAGAATCGTCAATTTTGTAGGAATGATAAATTTCAAAGCATGCCAATTTCTTGAAAATTAAAATAAAACTTCCTCATCTGGGTAGTTAATAGGTGGAGTACGTTTCTGGCAGATATTGATTTTTCAAATACATTTGATGAAAGGATGATTTTTTTTGGATTCGTGGTCCTTCGACAAATTTAGGTATTATTAAAATGTATGGGATTGGGTTTTTAGCTTTTTACTTTTTTGAGAAGCTTTCGAATTTTTTAATATGCTTTGTATAGTTCTTGGTTCAGCAGAAAAATACTCTACCAAACTTCAGAAAGAAGCGTATCAATCTTAATCTCCTGTACGCCTAATTTCGATTTTCTGATCTCTTTTTACTATAGTCTACTGTGAGGGAATAAGTGACGCATTTGTTTGGATTTTTTCATTTTCTGAAAAAAATCTTTTAAATTCAAGATTTTGGGTTTATTGGATGGAACGAGTCATGGGTAGCTCACCATGCATAAACTGCGGCGCCCAAATTTTTTCCAGAAAAAGCTGTGGACCTCAGAATAGTCCAATTTTGGTATTTTTAACCGTTTTTTGATTCTTTTTGACTTTTCTCGAATCTTACCCGACAAGTTTGAGATTTTGGATTCAGTCTGAAGACTGGTTTGTGGAATAATTTTTGTGCATGTGCGGCTGTGCCCATTTTTTTGTGAACAAAAAGTCATTGCCCTCGGAAAAGTCAATTTTTTGATTTTTGACCGCTTTTTGAAATTGCGAAATTTTTGATCTGAGATTTCGGGTTCAATCAAAAGAACAGATTGCGGAAAATGTCCCTGCAAAATCCACAGCGCACATTTTTCATCATGCAAAAGTTATAGCTTTCGGAAAAGTCAATAATTGGTTTGTTGTACCATCTTTTGAATCTGACTTTTCTTGATAAATACCCTCTCAAATCTTGAATTTTAGCGTTAAATCGAAACAACAGATTGTGTGAATCTCTTCTGTCTAGCAGCTATGCCCCAACATTTAACACAAAAGAGTGATTCGTAGAAAAGTCAAATTCTTGATTTTTTGACAGCTTTTTGACTTTTTTCAAAAACTACCCTGCCAATTAATAGGTTATGTGGTCTGATTCAATCGAAAAACCCGGTTTTAGGAGGTTTCTCTACTTAAACGGCTACGGTCGTTTTGTTTTAGAAGACGTTTTTGATTTCGGAAAGTCGAGTTTTTGAACTTTTGACAGTTTAAAAAAAACTTTTTGATTTTCTTAGAAAGTACCCTATCAAATAAGAGATGAAGGGTTCAATAAAAAGGGTTTATTTTCGTAATAAAAAGTGAAGATTTTTTTTGGTTCTTTCTACTGTCGCTTGCGACAAGCAAGGTTAATAAAATCGGGTACTAGACTTTTTTCCCGTAAAAAACTTTGTCCACAGGATCACTACTAGCGGATCTTCACGTCTTAAAGAGAATTTTCGTTTTCTTCGCTTCTTTCACTTAGTTAGTAGTTAGTTTTGTAGCCCGTTTCTTAAGCCCTTTTCAGTTTGTAATTGTCTTTTCAACAAAATTTCTCTATTTGTTTTCGAATTCGGATTTTCGTCCTAGTTTCTATTGCTTCATTTTCCGGTTTTTTATACGCCATTTTTTAAAATCTGGCCTGGCATTTTTCCAGCTTTTCGAAGCAATGCTTTTTTCTAATTTGGACAGTTTTACTGTTACTGAAACTTCACAGTTTGTAAATTTACCATCTCTGACTTCTTTAAATTTACCATCTCTGACGTGATTATGTTATATCGACTTAATCAATTTATTTTGCGTTATTTCGACGAAACTGTTATGAAAAATTTCAAAAAATTTAAAAATTTCTACGGCGCATCCAAACTGAAATACATAATCCCAAACGGAGATATTTTGCCATCGAAATAACGCAAAATAAATTGACTGTGTTTCAGTCTGGATGGGTCGTAAAAAATTATAATTTTTGTGAAATTTTTCATAACAACA